CTCGTGAATGCGCGGTCCGTTGCAGAACAACGAGAAGGCAACCTGGGTGTCCGACTTGAGGTTGACTATGGGGGCATCGGGGTATGATGGATCCTTGCTGTACATGTTCACTGTATCGACCCTGAAGCCATCCACACCTTTTTTGAGCCAGAACTCCATGGCTGAAGCATAGACGGCCTGTCGTACTTCGGGATTCTCCCAGTTGAGATCAGGCTGTTCGACACAGAATAAATGAAGATAGTACTCCTGTGTTGTCTGGTCCCATTGCCAAGCACTGCCCCCGAACACGCTGCGCCAATTATTGGGGGGTCTCCGATCGCCATTGGCGTCGTACTTGGCCGGTCTCCAGATATACCAGTTTCGCTTGGGGCTGTCTTTCGAGGTACGCGATTCTTTGAACCATTTGTGCTCGTGCGAGGTATGGTTGACCACCAAGTCTAGGATGATGCGTAGTCCACGACGGTGACAGGCATCGATCAATGTCTCCATGTCCTCAACGGTTCCGTAAGGAGGATACACCTTCTCGTAGTCGGAGACATCGTAGCCCATATCGTATTGTGGACTATCATACATGGGACAGAGCCAGACGACGTCTACCCCTAGGCTAGCGATATAGTCGAGTTGCGATATGATACCGGGGATATCGCCCATTCCGTCATTGTTCGAGTCTTTGAAACTGGCCGGATAGACCTGGTAGATGATGGCATTCTTCCACCATTTTTCACCGGGTGACATAGTTACAGGTCTTGATGATGTACTTGGACGAATGACCAAGACTGGAGTCACTATCTAAGCTGTGGAGAATTCAGAGTATCTGCATAACATTGAGATATCTTGGAATATATAACAATGGAGTTATGGTGATCGGCCATCTTGCCAGTTGTCAACCCCTTCCCACCGACTCTGATTGATTTAAAGTCGGTCCGAGTTATCCATTGCATCTGTGCCAACAAACAACTCGCCTTATCGTTCTATCCTCATCCAACGAGTCAGACCTCAAGCGAGAGAGTCTTCCTCATGATTAGCCCAGCACATCAGGAGCTGAGACGCGTAACCCCTATCCCCACTTTTGCTCCCAACTTCTGATTCTGATTGGTGTAATTGTAATCTATTCCGTGTGATTGATTCGTCCAAGGTCATTGTGCAGAGCGCCCCCGCACCATCTTATTGGATACATAGGTTTCCCCTCACACAACAAGCGCAAAGACTAAGGACGCTTCAAACTACTTTCAGTTAGAGCGTGCATTAGCGCCAAGAAACGAAACCACAGTCGGTCCGACATTCTACCAATAACCACCTCATTTCCGGCCTCCCGACCAAATTCGTCCCGGTGTGAAAATTTGGCCGCAGTTTGGGGCATATACGGGGGGCGAATTCCAGGGGAACTCAGACAGTAGAAACTTGTCTAAACTGCCGCTTGGTCCCTGGGCTCGTCTTATGGTCGACACCTCCTTCCGGATCGATAAAATCTGGGGATATCGAGGGTCCGCGACAATCCGGGGAAGCCTGGAAGTTACCAACTACCCCACATCCCTTCATCCCTTTGCCATCAACCCTTCCAGCTTGCTGCCAGCCTGCCACACGCCTTAAACCGTCAACTAAGCTCGGGGCTTGTGTCAAGGGCCAATGACCGCCATCGGACCGAATGGTCTGACTTTTAAGGCTTGCGAACGGGCCCAGCTTCGAGAATAATCACTCTAAATTATTTGCCCCTTGGACTCTGCAGTACGAACCGAGGCGTTCGTCCTATATAAAGGCCCGCACATCCCTACGGTGCGGCGCCTTTTCCTGCTTTCTCTCCACGGGCCTGGCCTTGCCTGGCAACAATTCCAACACATATATTCGTTATTAACTCATCACAAACCATGGAGGTCGAGAAATCAGCCCGAATCGAACATGTGGAGGAGGAAACTGGCTCGCGCAGGTCCGAACCGCAGCCTGCGAGCCACTCGGATCTCGTGGCCAGCAGTGAGGCCCAGGCGGCCCTGGACAAGGAACACAGCATGACACCTTGGCAAGCACTGAAGATCTACCCTAAGGCCGTGGGTTGGTCTATTCTTCTGTCTTGTGCCATCATCATGGAGGGCTACGACGTGGTCCTGATCGGTTCTTTCTTCGCCTACCCCCAATTCAACGAGAAGTACGGCCATATCATGTCGGACGGAAACTACGGTCTCGCTGCCAAGTGGCAAGCGGCCTTGACCAATGCGATGAGCTGCGGTCAGATTATCGGCCTGTTTATCAACGGCATCGTGTCGGAACGCTTCGGGTACCGGCGCACCCTCATGGCTTGCCTGGCTGCGACCGTGGGATTTGTCTTCATTCTGTTCTTTGCGCCGAATATACAAACCCTCGTAGCCGGCGAGCTGCTCATGGGTATCCCCCTTGGCGTGTACCAGACCCTCACCGTTACCTATGCATCGGAAGTATGCCCTGTCGCTATTCGAGGCTATCTCACCACCTACGTGAATCTGTGCTGGGTCCTAGGTCAGCTGATCGCCTCCGGCGTCCTCAAAGGGCTGGAGGGGCGCACGGACGAGTGGGCTTACCGTATTCCCTTTGCCATCCAATGGGTCTGGCCCGTCCCCATCTTCATCGGCGTCTTTCTCGCCCCGGAGAGTCCCTGGTGGCTCATCCGCAGGGACCGCCGAGAAGACGCCGTCAAAGCGCTCAACCGGCTGGCCGTAGCCGGACACCCTAACTTCAACGCCGAGGAGACCGCGTCGATGATCGTCTACACCAACGCCCTGGAAAAACAGGTTGAAACAGGCACATCCTACGTGGACTGCTTCCGAGGATGCGACCTGCGCCGCACGGAGATCGCGTGTCTCGTCTGGGCCGCGCAGAGCCTCTGCGGCGGCGGGCTCATGGGCTACTCGACTGTCTTCTACCGGCGTGCTGGCCTCGCCGTCTCCCAATCCTTCACCATGTCGCTCGTCCAGTACGCCATCGGCGTAGTGGGGACCTTTCTCTCCTGGACGTTGTTGACGTACTTCGGTCGTCGCACGCTGTATGTTGGCGGACTGGCTCTGCTCGCCATCGTTCTCTTCGTCATTGGCTTTATCTCCATCCCTCACTCCTCCCCCTCCATCTCCTGGGCCACCGGCTCCATGCTCCTCGTCTACACCTTCATCTACGATTCCACCATCGGTCCCGTCTGCTTCTCCCTCGTCTCCGAAATCCCCTCCTCCCGACTCCGTACCAAGACCGTGGTGCTAGCTCGAAACCTCTACAACGTGATCAACCTGGTCTCGGGAATCATCATCCCGTACATGCTGAACGTGGACGCATGGAACTGGAGAGGCAAGTCGGGGTTCTTCTGGGGGGCGCTGTGCACCTGCTGTCTGATCTGGGCGTTCTTCCGCATCCCCGAACCCAAGGGCCGGTCCTATGCCGAGTTAGATATTCTGTTTGAGCGCAGGGTCCGCACTCGGGAGTTTGCGACTGCCGAGACAGGGTTGGTGGAGAGAAGAAGCGATCACAAGGTTGATCCGCTCGCTGCTAGTGGCGTTTGATTACCGAACGGTTCATTTGTACCGATACTCTGTGTATATGATGATCTGGGAGAGGGTTGAAAGCGCCAGAACCAGAAACGCACTAGAGTAGCATTGCGCGCGAGTACGCGGCCAGCAACAATTGGATATCATTTTTCCTCCTGTCCGTGGTAGACTACTATTTTGAAGACATCAACAAAGTAATGCTGCTCTCAGTCACAAAGTTAGAATGCTTGAAGCTGCTGAAGTTGTCCTCGGATTTTCAATTTTGCCATACTGGGAAGGAGTTGGCCGAAGACAAAACAACCAGCCCCTTCATTCTTTTCGCACCCGGTACATATTTGAACTTCTTGGGCTGCGCGTTGGCTTTCCTTGAACGAATGGTTCCCAAAGATCAGAAACAGCATTGTTATCTTCTAACGGCCAAGTAGTACAGTACTAGAATACATGGGAATGCATCGGCAAAATCTACTTATTCATCCTCAAACAAGATACAAGTATACGTCTCGTCACCTTCCATCGCAGTAAGAACCTGCACCGGTGCCTCTTCATCAAACCCACATAGGCCCTCCTGATCAGCGGCACTAGTCTCAACTGCCTTATCTTCAAGGCTTTGACTTAAACCACGGGAGTTGGCTACTTGCAAAGTATAAGTACCTTACCCTCCTGTACCTTCCGTTGGTAAACCTGGTTGCTATTTCTATCGCAGTGATGATCTCAGTGACATGAGTGTTCCGTCAACGCCAATCTCTTCAGCCACTATCTATGTCTTCAGAGGACTTTGTTAGCTATCGACCCGGCTTGAATAAACGCGCGTAATGCAGTAGGCCGTTAGATTCTAGCTGATAGTGTCAACGCCCATTCTGACCAAATATTGTTGCTTTTCAAAGAACGACACCAGCGTGCCGCAAATGCAGGTCAGGAACATGGAACTAAAAAAAGATATTTACCAAAGGATTTAAGCCGAGGAAGTGAAACTCAATATGAGCCACTAACCGACCTCTCGATCTGCTAGTAGCTACTAAAATCCCTACTATTAATTTCTCTGCCTTATACAACGTATTTCTTATTTCAGTAGTAAGAATCACTACTGATGGGGAGGAATAACCGAAGAAGGTCGTCGAAAGTAGCTTCAAATTAGCAGAAATGCCACGAGGCACCAGTGGCGAACCTTATGCGGGTTGCTGGCAGTGTACGAATACGATGGACTCATACTGTTAGGCTTATCAGAAACTCTAGGGACTCTCTCAACTGCGAAAGAAAATTTGTTCTCCCATCGAATCAGAGGGCATACTCGTTTTCGTACAGATACCCGGCATTCAGTCGTACCCTGCAGGCTGCAACACCATTTGGAGGATCGTCGACCCACTATGTATCTACGGCGTTGGGGATACCTTGTCATCCGTTCTCTCACAGAACCTATAAATACCTTGGCGATGAGACTGCAGTTCATGTCACTCATTGCTGAATAACAAAAAAGCAGAGAACAGGTCGCCTTGCAGAACCATGAAGTCATTTAGTACCGCAACACTCATCACCGCGGTTCTCGCCGCTACCGAAGGAACAAACGCCTTCACCAACACTAGAACCAGCCCGCTGAGAAAGGAAGCAGCAAGCAAGGGTATTCTCATCGGGTCCGGGGCTACCAATCCGACCTATCTCGATGATCATCAGTTTGCAACCGTCCTTGCCGAGCAGTTCAAGAGCCTCTCCCCCGAGAATGAGTTGAAGTGGTCGTTCATCCACCCGACGCCGGGGCACTACAATTGGGACACGATCGACCGCCTCGTTGGCTTTGCAAAGGACCATGACATGGTGGTTAAGGGACATGGGCTCATCTCGAGCTGCTGCAACCCCGACTACCTGCTCAACATCACCGACCCCAAGCTGTTTCGTGCTGCGATGGTCGACCATTTCGAGGCGATCATGCACCGATACGCTGGCAAGGTGGATCGGTGGGACGTCGTCACCGAAGCTCTCAAGACGAATAGCAGTGGCCTACAGACCAATCTCTTCTACAACGTGCTCGGCCCTGATTATATCGGAGAGGCCTTCCGTGTCGCCCGGATAGCAAGCCCAGGCGCCAAACTGTTTATCAACGAGAATCTCGTCGAATCGCTTCCCGGAAAGCGTCAAGAGCTCTACGATCTCGTCTCCGGGCTCGTAGCTAACGACGTCCCGATCGACGGAGTCGCTCTACAGATGCACATTACCGAAGTTCCCCCCATACCGGGAGTGATTACGGATATAGTCAAGTCCTACCACGCTCTCGGACTGGAAGTATCCATCGCTGAAATGGATGTCCACACGCTGAACACCACGCTCCTCACCGATATCTACAGCGCCGTCATCACTGAGGCTCTTGATGCTGGAATCACCGATATCAGTTTCTGGGGCTTTACGGATAAACACGCGTATACCTGGATAGAGGGCGCGAAGCCATTGATGTTCGACGAGTACTACAACCCTAAGGGTGCGTTCTACGCTACCCACACTGCCCTGACGAGTTTCGACAATGAGGGCTGAGTACCTCAAACAGCATCTGGCAGTCGAAACTGTTTTCACAGAAGTTGGGTGGATCTGTGCAGAGAGAATAGATGGCGAGAGCGACCTTACTAGGCCGTCTGCAGAAGATTCAACACTCCCAAATGCTGAACATTTTCCATATCCCAAAGGCTTTCAACAGCCTCAGCGAGCCCTGATCCCCCTAACCATTTTGAATTTTATAGTATTCAATAATTCACTCTCTTAACTATCCACTGGTTAGGCACATACCAACTTTCCATGCTGTATCGAACCCATTCCAACAGCCGTAAGCCGTTATTCCAGATAAAAGTATAATGATCGAAACCCACGACCCGGAAGCTATACATACGTAATCGAAGGAACCCATGGACACATACAGTTTATCCTAACTTGACATGAGACGTCGACTATCAAGAACATTGAGCCTGTCCTCCCGCCAGAGTGACATGCTAGTACCATTGTACCGCACACTTGACAAGTACAAATCGCCAGCAAAATTCCTCAATCTTCTGTACAACGGCTTTTCGTGAAGACAATGCTGTTTCTATGGAAAATTATCGGACTGGGCCAATACGTGAAGCCCCTTCATTCTCTATCCGGAAATGGAAAGAAGATAGAAGGTTGGGCGGCGCTAGTTTTGCCTAGCCCACTAATGGTTCTTAAGATCTGCAGAACTCAGACCCACGCGTTTTCGTATACACATTAATGGAGAGGGTAGATGGTAGGGTCCACCTCTGAATGTGGCAAAATGAAACAACACGCTGATACTGCGGCGGAGCATATTGATGGCAAGGATAAGCTGTGGGGTAGAATGAAGTTCCATTCCCGAAATCTTTTATTCGTGCACACTCTTTCAGGGACGTTCAAGGTATATGCTGCATACATCATAAGGGCAACGTTTCAACGAACAGGCTTTTACGGGAAGAAACTATCTAGGAAGGATATTCAGAACGTCCTCTGGAAGGCAAGACTATAGCAGTGTGTACTCACATGGATCCAAGAATTATTCTGGTTATTCCGGTTGCGCCATGTGCAGCAACAAACCCGCTAGCTCCTATCTCAGATCGAATTAAGAATCCGCCGAATATGAAGTCAATTGATGCTGGGTTTACGTTGTACGTTTGCTCCAGGTATAATATGCCTGTCTGAGCGAACTCTGGATAGGTTTGACATAAATATCTCCTTCCAACCCGAGAACTCAGTCAAGATGAAAAGGGTGACTGTATCATGACGAAAAAGTGTATACATCTTTGTGGGAACCAAGAAGGAAAAGGAAGGAAGGAAAGAAAAGAGGGAAAAGGAAACATGTATGCAAGCGAAATATAGTATAGCAGTCTATGAAAACCAGGTTCAATCACCCGATCAGTTTGCTAAGCAGATGAGTAGGAAGGGTATAGGCCATTCACCCCACCAGGGACCTTTCGTATGGCTTATTAGCTGACGGGCGAGTCAATTCATAATCGGAGGCACGTCTCAGTAGCTGGGCAATTTCGCAAGGATGCACAACATTGAAGGTGACCATCGTGATGAACATCAGTACTGCATCGAAAATATATAAGTAGATCTCGTAGTGTAGGAGGTATCCGTTATTTCCTTGAATGTATTCAGCCAGTCGGAAAACGGAGCGGATCATGATCAAGAAGCTCGCCAAATAAAGAACATGTAGGTGTTTGCTCCAGGGAATGTCCGAGGTACAAGCGCGTGGGATCGGATATTTCTTGAGCTTCCAGTAAAAGTGGCTTGCTGTGATGATGAAAAACCCAAAGAAAAAGATTTGAACGAAGAGGCCGACGACGATGATGTGCTCGCCGTTCTTCATGTTCTCTAAACTTCCACTGCTCTGAATGCCCCCACCTAGATCATATCAACTGGCCATCCCATGGTCTGAATATTTGCTATGAGATGCTTACCGGCTCCTTGCAGTAAGAATGAGAGCACATCGCCCGTTACAAATATCTTAGTCAACCATTTCCTCCGCAACAGGGCATGCGGTTCGGCTTGTAACAACAGGATAATGCGACCAAGAAGCATATATACCGAGGCCGCCAGGAGGGCCGGAGCCAGCAAAAGACACAGCGTCTGCACGACATACGGTCCAAGTGTCCAATCTGGGGTCTGTTTGCTGGACATGGCACGTCCGATATATCCGATAATTTCGACTGAGCAGATTAGAATTGTTCCAGGGCCAAGGATTGTAGAAGGTGCACCCACATATGCCACCAATGACAAAAGGAATGAAAAACCACGTGTGACTCTTGAACATTTGAAAAACATGATACCCAGTCGTGCCTATGAAAAGGAGGGTGAAAAGCACGGCGGCGCCCATGCTGGGGTCGTAGCGATAGAAGGCAAAGACGACCTCATTAGAATCGCTCGAATCCGTCATCTTTCATGTGAAGGGAATGAATCTCAACAGAAGCAAGAGCCTTAAAAGAGATTAAGGAGAGACAAACGAAATAGAAAGTGGGGTGAAGAGAAAGAAGAGGAAGGTTTCTAGAAGGACTGACAGAGGAAGATCTTACCGCTTCACCAGAAATATTGACGCTCCCCTTTGGGTATTTATATGGCGGCAAATGGGCTTTCAACGGCGAACAAGGACGGAAATCGGTGAGATCCGCACTAGTAAAGATTAGAGACCACTGAGAAACAATGTGGACGGAGTAGTGGTTTCAGGCCTAGGTATACTGGATCAATTCAGAGACCCATCTTCAGCCTATCGCAACAGCAATGCTAATATTGCTTCTGGTAACACATTGTGCTGAGTTCGTCAGCACTATCACCAGAGAAATGAAGCCTAATGACTCGCTATGGTCACTCTCTGGCAACACAAAAGAAAGACTGCAACATGAATGTCCGATTTATATTGGCGGTGGGTCGGATCAGGTGTAGCTAGCTCAGCTGAGGGTATAATCTGTTTCTGGAAGCAGACGGTCCATCCTTTAATTCTGCAAAACACTGCCCCCGGACGAGTAGCAGCACAAATCCCTTACATGGCTTCGCACCATTGTGGACTTCTACCAAAGGGGACTGCAGCGCAGAGGATGTTGTTGACGACGATTGGACGCTTTATTCTTCGTGGACTGCAGTTAAAAGCCTCCCGCTGCCTTAATTATCCGCTGTTGAACATGCGTATGATGAACAGGGTCATCCAACTGTGACCACTACAATAAGCTCGGAACACTATGGACACCAGACAGAGAGAAAATCTTGGACCTTGCTGTTCCCTAATTCGATAGTTAGCGTGGTATTCAGAAGGATGAGTGGTCCAAAAGCCATCTCTCAAAAGAAGGGTGGTTACGTATTTACAACAGCCCGGTCTGGAATCAGCCAAGGCTGTTTTGGTAGCTGCAGACAAAATCCTCGGTTCCTCCAATCAAGGGGCGTGATCGTTTTCGTATAAAGTCCCGCTGTCTCCGCCCGTGTTCGTACAGTCGCGCAGGACCCACTTGGCTCCAGTATAAACTATACATAAGATATGGAAAATGATTGGCCCACACCAGGAAAGTCAATCCTCACGCTCCCCTTGTGGTGGAAGACAATTTTTCATTCAGAGACCTGGGCATGATCTGTCTTCACTTTGACCGTCCGAAAGAGACCCAAGAATCTCTAGACATCCTCCCATTTTGCTTACGCGTTACCACGAGAATCTAGCCATCATGACCAGTAACGACCGGTTGGAGGTATTTGAACTGCCGGCAGAGCCTGTGATGCAACCGGCGGTCACTGGCAAAAGCAGTATCAATGTGAACGGTACGATGCCTTATAGGCTCTTAATGGGACAGTCGAGGACCAGCTTGTTGATGGGTGGCTAATGTCAGCAGATGACGGCCGCGTGAGTATCAGCTGGGACTCAAACTTCGTGCGAGGATTCTCCAAGTTGTACACTGGTCCGCTACGACCGCGCCCTGTCGTACCGCCGCCAGAGTACTCCGAGTTACCCACGCAATTCGCCAGCGATACAGTAGAAGATTTCGGGCCTCCGCCGGACTATTCAGAGACGGCCATAAAGTCTACAAAAGTTTGGAGGGTCAAGCTGAATATTGTCATCCAAGTAGTGGGAAGTCGAGGCGACGTGCAGCCATTTATTGCCATTGGAAAAGAACTTCAGCAATACGGACATCGTGTGCGACTGGCCACACATGATATATTCGAAAAGTTTGTCAAGGACTCAGGTCTGGAGTTCTATCCGATTGGAGGCGACCCGGCGGAACTGATGGCATATATGGTCAAGAATCCTGGTCTTGTTCCCGCTTTGGAGAGTCTGCGAGCAGGTGAAATCCGGCGCAAGCGCATCATGATCCGCGAGATGTTACATAAGTGCTGGTGGTCATGCATTGAGCCGGACCCGGTTACAGGGCGGCCTTTCGTGGCCGATGCTATCATCGCCAACCCGCCCAGCTTTGCCCACGTCCACTGTGCCCAGGCACTGAGCATCCCAGTACATTTGATTTTCACTATGCCCTGGAGCAGTACGAAGGCTTTCCCGCACCCCCTGGCGAATATGAACAGCGACGATAGAGATAAAGGTTTCAAGAATTATGTCTCTTATGGCTTGGTCAATTGGCTGACATGGCAAGGGTAGGACATCAATGCAGTCATATCAACGAAAGCTGGGTCTAACAAGAGCTTCCAGGGTGGGCGATGTGATCAACAACTGGCGAAGAGAGCTCGACTTGGAGGAAGTAGCTACGTTTGAAGGCCCTCATCTGGCCGAAATACTCCGGGTCCCATTTACATATTGCTGGTCCACGGCTCTTGTTCCCAGGCCGTCAGATTGGCCCGCTTATATCGGTTAGATACCATTGAATGGACTCTTGTCGCGCGAAATCGAACTAACAAGTCTCCCAAGACGTCTGCGGTTTTATCTTTCGTGACTCTCCGCAATACGAGCCGCCAGCTGATCTACAGGTCTTCCTTGAATCTGGTCCGCCACCGATTTACATTGGGTTCGGCAGCATTGTGGTGGAAAACCCGGAAAGGATCACTGCCACCATCGTCGATGCCGTAAATGCAGTCGGCGCCCGGGCTATTATCTCCAGAGGCTGGTCCAACTTGGGCGGGGCACGCCATGAGAACATATATTACATCGGGGACTGCCCACATGAATGGTTGTTCGATCATGTGGCGGCCGTTGTGCATCACGGAGGGGCAGGCACCACAGCTTGCGGTTTGCGCAAATCTAGGCCCACACTTATTGTGCCCTTCTTCGGAGAGTGAGTGGCTAGGGAAAACTCTATCTTCTTTTGGCAATTGGGTCAACTAACGGGGTTCTACAGTCAGCCGTTCTGGGGTGATATGGTTGCTGCAACGGGTGCTGGGCCTGCTCCAATTCCACATAAAGAGTTGACCGTTGATGCGCTGACCGAAGGTATCCGCTATTGCCTCAGTGAGCGAGCAGCGACTGCTGCTTCGGCCATTGCGGCTAAAATGGATTCAGAAGCGGGCGTCCGTGCTGCAGTCCGGTCATTCCACCGGAACCTTCCCAGCGAACGCCTAGAGTGCGATCTATGTCCGGGTCAGCCCGCAGTGTGGGCTTTTTCGAAGAACGGTACAAATATGAAGCTTTCCAAGATCGCCGCCGAAATACTAGTCGCAGACGGATTGATTGACAAGAAGAGTCTTACCATGTACGTGTAGGAGGCTGGATCCCTCAAGTTCTCCTTCGTTGCCCTGGTCACTCATGGACTTTTAGGCATGCGATTGCCCCAATATTGATCGAAAATCGCCGATGGGATCCTATCACGGGGGGAGCGTCTGCCGTGATGGGCACCGCCACCGACCTCTCTGCTTCTATCTTAGGGACGTTTTACAAACCAGTCCAAGAGCTTCAAGATTACCATGAAAGCCGCAAAAACCGCCCCTCAAGTAGCATGCCTAGCCGGACCACACAAAAATTTGCAAGCGACCTATCTGTTGAGAATATGTCGACAAACCATGAGGAGTTGCCTAATCGTGTTGGTGCTGCCAGTTCCAACTGCTCCACAAAGACCGCAGCTTCGACCTTAGCGACCCCGTCAGATCACGGCAGAGGGCGACTTTTGGGTAGGATGGCAGGTTCATCTGCTAAGAGCCTGGGCGCCTTTGTTCCCACGGCTCTCAAGGGGATGACAGTTGACATCCCACTTGCTTTGACAGAGGGGCTACGCAACGCCCCTCGATACTACGGTGAGAAGCCCCGGGATCACGGTCCAGTCACCGACGTCAAGAGTGGTTTTACCGTTGCTGGGAAAGGATTCGCATGGGGGATGGCGGAGGCATTGTGTGACGTAGTCGTGAAGCCGTACCAAGGTATGCGCGAGGATGGTGCGAGAGGTGCAGTCACAGGACTAGGTAAAGGCATGGCAAACATGGCATCTAAAGCCGGTTGTGCCATGTTTGGTGTCTTAGCATACCCAAGTGCTGGTATCGCGAAAAGTTTACACACCTTGATTCATTCTCGGACGAGAAAGCAGATCGCCACGGCCCGCCATGGCGAGGGCATGTGGCTACGGGAGAGCGACCAATACCCTGGAACGGACAAGATCGTTACCGGGTTTCAAGAGTTATTAAAGCGAAAGAAAAACTGAGTAATATACCGGGAGAAGTTAGGGCCATTTATGTAAAACACACAAGGCAAAGCTGTATTAGCAGGCTACAATATACATATGGAAGCGCTATCGGGCTTGTGAAACTATTGTTTTGGAAGCGCAGTAACATTAATTTGCGAAGCTTGAACGTAAGTGGCTCACGGCAAAGAATGATCACTACTTCTAGGCTATCTAGGTGGCTTCGACTTCTGCAGAACAAGGTGTCTTCAGTCCAGCTTTCCTGAAGAGTTCCGCAGTTCCGTCTACGCAGGGTGACAGCGACGATATGTCCGGTTGAAGGTCCAGGAGCACAGCTCATTTGGACCGTTAGCCCCCTAGATTTAGTCGTTGTATGTTGGCGCGGTTTTTATTCCAACGCCGTTCACTTCATGGATTATGTAGTGGGCGATCTAGATGAGCCCCGGAGTAAATGAGGCGCGGTCAAGTCTGCCGCTAGAAGTACAAACGGAATTCTCCTTGGGGGCAGCCTGACTACATATTATTCTCGTCTCAACGGCCGTGCCACGTTTTTCTCGCTACCTTTGGAGTCTCGTGGGACATCACACGCCCAGCCATACTAGCTGCACCACCGGCCAAGACAACAAATTATCGCACGGTCCAGTTGGGCCAATTGAGCCTTATTCATCCCCGGCACGCAACCTGCCAAGCAGCTCCGGAAGATGGTGTTCGGTTATACCATACCTACATTGGAGTCCATTTGCCATGGCGACTACGCTGGTGCCCGATTGCCCGCTTGCCACTCACTCAGTGGTCGAGTGTCTTTGTCCGAGCCGATTTAGTCCTTTCGCGGAAAGTCCTTCTCGGCAAGCACTAGGAGGGGGATACGGTTGCTCGCCAAGCGTGTGGTACCAGGGACGCTCTTCAGTTGGTTCCCGCTTCCGCCAGGCCAATCTATACTGTATACGTATACGAATATACGACTAGGGAGCATGTTCTCCGATAGCATTTCCATGGCGCAGCCGAAGTGGGGCAGGCACAAACCCTATCGGCTTCTCCGCTATATAAAGATCTTTTTTATACGTATACGGGTGGGTCCCGGTCTTTACTCTTTAGGCTTCCATGGTTTTCAAGCAGTTGAGATTTTCAAGCATCATGTACTAAACAGCTAAATAAGAGTGGCCTGCCGGCCTTTTTCTGATGGTCAGCTTGTATCTTTGAGCTTTCAAGTATTTCCCACTAGACCTAACAAGCAGGCCGATTCCCCATTCTCGACGTCCATTTCATAATGTCTCTCTGGGCTCGAGAAGCGACGACGGCGGATGCCAGCTACAAAACTGCCGTGTGGGCATATTATCGATACTATCCGTCCGAGGCAGCCGCCATCCTCTTCACTATTCTGTTTCTTATTACAACCTTTGTCCACCTATATCAGCTGATTCGTTGTCGGACCTGGTTTTTCATTCCTTTTGTGATTGGGGGCTTCTGTGAGTGCTCACAGAGTCGACTGGGAACATGGATCGTTGCGAATTCTAACGAAAAGTACAGTCGAATGGGTTGGGTATATTGGTCGTATCTTGTCCAGTCAGGAAAGTCCCAATTGGTTGATGGGGCCCTATATCCAACAAACGCTCTTGCTCTTGCTGGCCCCAGCGCTATTTGCAGCTTCAATCTACATGATGCTTGGACGGATTGTGGTGCTACTAGATGCTGAGCACCTTTGCATCTTCAGGAAGAAGTGGCTCACAAAGTTCTTTGTGTGTGGCGACGTTTTGTCGTTCACTGTCCAGGCTGCTGGTGAGCAGACTTCCCACCCCTTTTGGTCGAAAGAAGCAAAGGACCTAACAGCAGACAAACAGGTGGCGGTGTTATGGCCAGTGGTACTCTCGCGGCCGTGCACAACGGTGAAAAAATTGTTATTGCTGGCCTTGTCATACAGATTCTTTTCTTCGGGCTCTTTATTGTCACCTGTGCGATCTTCCACCAGCGTCTGATCAAGAGTCCCACAGAGCAATCAATAGAATTGGACAGCTCCTGGCGCAAACACCTGTGGATTCTCTATGCGGCCAACTTGCTCATTATGGTTCGGTCAGTGTTTCGGCTCATTGAGTATGCAATGGGTAACAACGGCTATCTGCTGCGGCATGAGGCGTTCCTCTATGTATTTGATGGAGTTCTCATGCTGGCGGCGATGATCCTATTCAATGTCGTCCATCCAAGCAGTCTGATACCGAGCAGGAGGAAAAGCGTCAAGCAGGAGTCTTCTACTGCCTAAACATTTATGACCTATCATGAACGAGTCAGTTGACTCTTACGACGGGATCTCCATTGTTTTATGATTTGTTTTACGGTTTGGTTTACGATTTGTTTTATGATTCGTGTTTGTTTATACTGTCCTACCTTCCGCCTTCAATATGTGTTCAATTATACAGTATTAGACTAGATGCTTTTGTACCCAGCGGCATATGGCATGTGTTCTTATTTCAAGGTCACGAGCGGCCATACTCATGAGGGCCAGTTGTTGCAGCAGCAAGGCAAATATTAGAAAACATGCGGAGACGGAGGAGGCACGTGGGATAGCAGCTGTATGTTAGGCTATTGAATCCTGAGGGCGAAGGAGTGAGGATGGCACGCAGTCACCCTTTTACCGATGTATATCTTCTAGGCCACTGTCGTACTCGTACTCGTACTCGTAGCGTCTTTGTTTTTGTGTCAATACGAATACGAATTAAAGGTCGCAGTCAAGCCTTGCAGGGGCTCTCCCCACGATATCCAATCATGGTCAATTAAAGATATGTGTGAATGCGTCTCTGCACTATGACCCCTCTTGGCAGTTAGAGGTACTGAGCCTTACACTTGTCCAGTTCCTCCGATCTCTGAATTTCTCCCGTGATAATCGTACGCATCTTTTGTCCTAGCAATCACTCGCCAGTGCACCAAGGGACAATGGCCTTGAAAGTATCCCCATTTTCGCGTTGTACTATGGAGAATCGCTGGCAAATGATTGTTGAATCTCCGGGTGAAACCCACCCATACCACCATCAGTGATGTCGTACAACTCCAGACAGCCCGAGTGATTTGATATGGCGGTATTGGCTGTCCCAGTCCGCCGTAGCTCCCCATCTTGGCCGGATAAGGCAACTAGTGGCGCAGTTCGTCATTCATTCCTATCTAAATTGTTCCTCACATGCATGTCCGACCTCCCTGCCCACAAGCGGAGGGTTAGATCTTCTGGCTTATTCATGTGATCATGCTGGGCTTGTCCCTGAACGGTGACTCATATATGGCTGCAGAGGCAACACATAACAGTCAACACGCAAGGAAAAGACACCGCGCACGTCACCACAAATCTCGTCTAGGGTGTTTCTCCTGCAAGTCGCGACGGGTCAAAGTAAGTCTACCGTTCTGGTCTGCTTCCCCCGAATTGCCCCATCACGCCTGCCCCTTTTTTGCTGATACACCGTCGGTTCGGATGTCGTGCAGTGCGATGAGGTTCGTCCTGTCTGTGGCTCCTGCTCTTCTCGCGGCGAGCCATGCGTCTTCCCTGATCCACCAGCGACGTCCCTCAAACCGACCAGCGCCTCTCGGGGGCGACGAGATTCGCCACGCTCCCGGAGTGGGGGTAGTCCCCGTCCCCTTCGACCTTACCTAGAGTCATGGGAGACGTATACGTCGCGGCCGGCGGGAGTTTCCGCGCCAGCAAACGATGACCTGGACATGGATAACCTCCGCGCGATGCAGTTCTTCCATCTGCATACTGCCCAGGAGATGTCTCTACACCCAAAGCGAAGCATGGTCTGGCGGCGGGTGATTCCCCGCCTCGCCGGAAAGCACCGTTATCTCATGCACCTACTCATCGCCTTGGGGGGTGTCCACATGATCACTCAACGACTGAGGCAAAGGCCTGGTGAAGATTGCGACTCGGATACGGTAGATTTGCGGCTCGTAATGGATCACTATCAGAGAGGACTGCAGGACTTCAGAAAAGAGGTTGCCAAGATATCCAACTCAAATGCGGAGGCTGTTTATGCAGGCTCTCTACTCCTCGTCGCCTTCGTCTATGCCTCCCTCCAGGTGCCCGAGCTGAATCCGGCTTGGTCGTCTGCTGATCCGGCTTCTGTTCCCTATTCATCGGCTCTAAACATGCAGACTCTGCCCCCAATTGACCGGCCCCAGGTGAGCTGGCTACACCTAATCAGGGGAGCGTCGACAGTGATCCAAGATCAATGGCCTGTCTTAAAGGCCAGCTGCATGCGGCCGATGGTACTACATTTCCATGGCGATGAGTACTGGAAAGACCTTCCCTTTGATTCATCCTTGTCTAAACTCAGTCACTGCTCTCTTCTTGTGCAGTTATTCGCCCAAGGGGCCCTTCAGGCGGTCGCGGATTTGAGAGCTTTCCACGCCACTCTTCGGCTTACCGGTAGTAACGAGCTCTACTCAACGTCCGTCTCCCCTTCAGATACATCGGAGGTGGCAGTGGATGGACCATCAAGGGCCATAGACGTCCTAGAAAGTATCTATTCGCGGGTTATGTCTGTGCTCCAATGTACGATCAGCGAGCAGGGATCTCCAGATGATTCCGATATTCAGTACAATCTGGAAGAGGCCGCAGTGCTAGGTTGGCCAATTTTGGTTCCCGATGTCTTTATCGGCTTACTGGAGAGCGATGAACTAGTGGGTCAGGCCTGGGGACTTTCTTTGGCCATCTTGGCTCATTTTTATGTCGTCAATACACTGGTAGGCCGCTGGTTTTTGGGCGCTTTCAAGGAGGAGATCCTGAGGATCCAAAACTTCGTCTCTAGTTTACACGACGTTGAGTTGGACCGGCTTCTGATATTGCCGGTGAAGATTGCTACCTCCTGAGCAGTCTTCTGGCTTTGGGGATCAGCCCTGACGATAACAACCCTGCCTTGTCCTTTCCACGGACCCCTTTAACGGGCGCAGCAACGTACTCAGGGTGCCCCTGCGGAGACTATAGCAAACCATCGCAGCATGCAATTCCCCGATTAAGGAAGAGCAACGTACTCAGATACTCGGTGAGCGTGTTTGATTTTCCATGTTTCATTTTGAGGGAGAATGAAACGTGAGATAACGAAATCAGCGGGTCTAATGGCTATCAAGCCTTAGTCTCCGTCCTAGCACCGTTGTGATTGCACGACATCTATGATACCCGTGATCTTTATCTCTAGCCGCTTTGTAACAGTCTGGGCACACAGCATCTTGCCTGTATCGACTATTTCTGATATGTTTCTCCTGTACTTTTTCTTTCAAGTACCTCATGTTCATTCCCTGCGGCTCCTGGCAGTGGTGTCTGTTCGGTGTTATCTCGATAGTCGGGGTCACACAGGCCACTTGCGTAAGCATCAACCATATAGCTGACTATCAGTCAATACGCCTTACGGCGTACAATATAATACAGATATTAATTTGAATATTCTCGGTCGATGCAGCAGTAGAGACGCAAGTCTTTCGTCGTCTGCTACGACGAGTGCTGAAGTCAATGGGACGCTCCTTGTGAGCTGCTGTTACGTTGTGACCAGGCGAAACACCGATTATTGGCCTGTAGGTGATCTTTGTCACGTACCCCATTAAGCCCCTAAGAGGCGGGAAAGGGATTGTATAAGGCTTTATTTCCCCCCTAAGGTGTGCTTATTTAAAAGCATATCTATATCTTACTATGGCCCAGTCACGCAAGTGTATTACTTGGCTGATCCCAGATGCGAAGAAAGGCACAGAAAAGATTTGATAATATAAAAGCTCTATTAAGTATAAGCCAAACATTGGTGATTGTCGGGAAGCTAAGCAAGTAATTCGCAGAGCGCGTTATATAAAGCTTTTATCAATATCTTTAAATTAATGTCTTAGAGTTCTTGAAAAATGTATCTAAATTTCCCTATTTAATTTCTCCTTTACTAAATTACCACAGATATTGAGGAGCATAAGTTTAAGATTAAAAAAACCTGATATCTCAGGTATAGGAAGCATCTCTGGAAGCCACGGATTTTTTGTCCCGAAAACTGGCCTCCACAAAACAAGCCCTAGATGGTAATTAGGACAACGGAGCAGGTTAAATACCAGTAATGGGTAGTTCCGCAAAGTTCTAAACATTTCTTTATGCACATACTGGAGCTCAAACCCATCTTATGCTGAAAAATCGTCGGCAGAGGACGCGAGGACTTATAGCATCCTTCAAGAATTGGATACCGATTGAGAACCTTGAACCAACCCCCACGTCTCCATTTTGAATGTCATGCCACATCGATACTAAAGTTAAGTTTCTCTGAATAAACGGGAATTTTTGGAAGAAACGCCTAGAGTTGCAATCATAGACGAGTTACCCCTATAGAGTCGAGGTGCCATCAATCGGTGAAATACAGAACTTGTTTGACTAGAAGGACACGTTTTTAGGCACCTCTTCTTTCCACGCGATGCAGCGTAGCAGTGTATGTCTTTCAGATATATCCTAACTCTGTCAAACTGCCCAGTTCCATGGCTAGCCTTATTAGCATGGACCTAGGAAATAAAGTGAACCTGGACTTGGAATCGGCGATGTCCCAGTCAAAAGACGATATGGACATCAAACGAATCTTATATCGATCGTTCTCTACGTTTAGTTTGAGCACAAATAGGTCCACCAACTGTTGCAGGCGTCGAACATCGGAGAGAACATCTTCATCATGGACCGTATGATATGACTCTCGTTTGACTACCTTTAGTTAAGCAGCATTCAAAGTATGACTATGATGGTATATCCAGAAGCCTGGAAAGACATAGAGAATTACCTCTGCTTCCTGGTTTATGAAAATTGTTGGAAGCGTTACTATCAAGGAATAACCCCAAATAGCCGAGAGTCAGAGAGGGAAATGAGATCGCGAAGAATCGGAAGCAAATATGTAAGCAAACAATATATCGGATGGCGAGAACAACAGGAGACCCATGTGGTACACAGGGCTTAGACTTGCCTTCTCTTAAAATCTTAACAATCCTATTAGATGTGAAAAAACATATCTCATTGCTCTAGACTGAACTCCAGCCCAATTCAAATTGCTGTGCGAGACTGGCGTCGGGGAAGTCATATTGCAGCTTGCAGAGCAGATACCATACCACCATCCGTCCCAGATCAAGCTGGCCCGTCTCATCGAACAACTCACTTACTCGCTGCAATTGACCACCGAGCTGTCTGCTAGTTGATTGGCATGAAGAAGCCTCCATTACGAGCGATCATTGACACCGTGATGAATACTATTCAATCCGAGCTTTACTATACACAAGAGTGCGACATCAAGCCACTTAAGGTTGGAAACAAGGGACACCACAACCAATACCCCCGATACCCCTTCCTACCATTAGCAAGACGAAAGGGGCTCCGAGTACTGGCAAGCATCACTAGGACCCTCGCTAGTCTCCTCAGGCTCATCGCCGGAATTGTTACCCTTATACTCCACGCAGATCTTCTTGACGTCGGTGGCGCAGGTGCTGCTATCGATGGAGGCAGTGTCGCCCAGGTTGCTGTTGATACCGACAAGCGTCTTGCCGGAGTTTGCGACGACGTTCCTGATCGTCACGGTGCGAGCATGCTGCTCGTCGCAGTTGCCGCATGACCGGTAGAGCTTGCCAAAGTCGTAGACGGTGAAGCCATCGATGTTTACCTGGCCTCCGGAGTTGTGCTGGATGACCTTGTCTGCGGCGCCTTGGGCACCACCGCCGATGACGTTGTAGGGGCCGCTGCCACCCTTGAGGGAGAGGGCATCTGCGTAGTGTTAGCGCGGGCTAGGATGAGTTGCGTAAATGGCTTATGACTTATGGCTTACCCTCGCAGACGGCCTCCCACCAGACGTTCTCGATGGTGCAGGCTCCAAGGCAGTAGACGCCCTCGATCTGGTCGGAACCAATGATGGCGTTCTTCAGGGTACCGCCCTCCTGGATGAGAAAGACGGCGTCATCCTGGCCGCCTTCGCCCTGGCCGCTGCACGACACACCACGGCCGTAGGTTTTATAGCCACCGTCGTAGGTCTTGCCGGCGGCGACCTCGTAAGGCTCATCAAAGGTCACGCTGCCCTGAGAGTTGGGGATGGGGAACTGGGCCAGGGCGGTGGTGGCCAGCAGGGAGAAGATAACGCTCTTTTGATACATGGTGATGTGTGAAAAGACAAGCAGAGTATAGTTCGCAGAACTGAGAAGTGAAACGATGCTACCAGAGCAGTTGGAATGAAACTTGGTTTATGATGGATAGTTGCAGTTCGCTGGCCAGAGGCTGCTTTATATCTTCCCTATGACTCTAAACGTGTCTCTATCCCCAGGAGGCCTCCAAGTCTACTGCTGGACAGTCTGCCTCTCCCCTTGGCAGGTTTCACTTGGAGTGTTGCCATGGCTGGACTGGTGTGTTGAGGAATCAACGTGAAACTGAGCTCGTTGGTGACCGTCTACAATCGACAGGAGGATTGCCGATCCATGACTCGGGAGCAGACATTCTTCGTCGAGGCCACTCAAGTATGCCAGAGTTCCTCCGTGTTTGCGCACCAGAATTTCATCTCCCATTGTTGATCGGCACGCCAAGATTTAATGAAGCACCGGCCCATTTCCGCCACGGCTCCATTCCTTGTTGGCAGCTGGATTCAGTTCGATCGACATGCTGAGTTTTTGACAGTCCCGGATGAATTTAATCGATGTGATTGATCGTATTTCTAATGCTATAGTACGGGGTAGCCGTCCATCACACCTGTTCGATGTCCTCTCACTTGAAGAATGCCCTCTGTAAGTGCCTGATCCGTTGATCCAGATACGGACGACAATGCCGAGAGACTTGTATGAGGTGCTCTCTCAGACGGAGCATTTTGCGTCGGAATTGTGGCGCAGTGGCATGGCCTGACAGACCAGGAGCCGGGGTACTGTAGCGGAATGAGTGGATTGATGCCGATTCACGCCCAATCCGTACTGGACCTAAATGATACGTCTCCACTGACGCGTCAGTTTCAGCTTTAATTGCAGTACAATCCGAGTTAATTGACTCGTGCATAAATTAATATGGTTATGCGAGTCAGAGTACGTCAGGCAGTCAAATGACAGTATAGAGTGCATGGAGTTACGCGGTCTGTGGTTAACTGATTGGAGGACAATATCAACCGCTGAGTCGATCAATATCTCCCTCCATATAATGCAGTGATTTGTCACACACTACGCGACTGAAGCAGTGACTACGCAATATTCTGCTGAGCCAAGATGCTAGAAGTCTATCCATCCAGTGGCTTAACAGCCCTTCTTCGTAAGCCGTACTCGTACTCTGGATACAGCGACTGATCAAGCTTCCTTGGTCGTCCACTTGAAGCTAACTAAGACGCACAACGAAGCTAACACCCTCCTGTGGCACTGGGCTTCTCACATGCTTTCCCCGTGCAGTTAAACCCCCGAGTGCCCTCGACATTACCGCACAGATACTCATCCGCCAACGTCCCATTCGGCAGCTGCAAGTTCACATTCTGAATCTGGATATTCGTGCACGGCTTGACGGCACTACACTGAAAGCTGGCCACCACGTCCGTCTTGGACGACCCTGTGATATCTTCGATGCGCAAATCCCGGATCTGAAACTTGGACGAGGTGCAGTTGCTCTTCGCCCCTGAAAATGTCGTGCACTGAGAGACGGTGAAGGGGGCCCCGCGCAGATTGTAGGCGCGGAGGTTTGCGGCGGATATATCTGAGGCATCTATTGCAACGGCACACGTTAGAAGGACAGCCAACACACATTTGAGAAAAGCGCAAATGGAAAGGGTCATAGTACAGCCAAGGCCGCCGCCTCCACCGTTGGGCGGGTAATTGACCTGCTCGCCCGTCCAGGTCTTGAAGTAAAGGCTGTGCAGCGTGCCGTAGTACGTGATGTTCTCGGCTCGCACGCGCTCGATGGTCTCAAATACGTCCTTGTACTGGCCGATACTGCCTATGGCGATGCCAAGGCCCCGGTAGAATACTGAGTTGGTGATGAGAATGTCGGTGGAGTTGGCCTTGGCGCTGATGCTGTCGTCGCCGTTGACGACCGTCCAATTGTTGAAGGTAATGTGCGAACTGTAGATGGTGTCGGCTCCATCAGTATTGTCTTTCCAGTTAGCATTGAGGTCACCCATGGCTACTTCATTGTGCTACTTACGAGCTGAGTTGCCGTTGGTGGTCGTGCTATTCACATAGATCGAGTCGAAGAGGATATGATGCGAGTTAATTACAGACAAGGTCCTGGCCACTTAGCTATTGACTACCTGCAGAGGATGGCTACTTACCACATCTGACTTTGCAGGAATCTCAGCCCCTGAAAGACCGAGTTCGACGCGCGCGCAACGGTGAGGGCATGCGGCCTGCGAGGATAGTTCGACACACTCTTGACATAGTCATACCACACCTGGCCGTTGCCGTTCAATGTGCCGTATCCGTGGCCGTTGAACCGGATGTTCTTGCCTCCTATCACCCATGCGGTGGACTGGTTCTGGTAGCCCACGTCCAGGGAGTGGGAGAGCCAGTACGAGATGTTGGTTCCCCACTGCGTCTGTTAGTCAACTACAGGAAAAAAGCCAAGGATGGTATACCAAAAGTGTGCCATAAAGGTCAATGTCACAATCGTGCAGTCCGCTTGTGTTCATGACACTGTTGACATGGTATGTGGTATTCTGGAAGACAATCCTCCCTCCGTTTCCACAGTTATGGAAGGCTTCGAGGATGGCAGGCGTATCATCAGTTGACTCAGAACCTGCTGCCTTGACAGTACATGTTCGGCGATGAGACTGTCCGGTAGTGACATGCGCAATAGCCGTCAAAGGCAGAAGGACACACGGAAGAATTTTGGCAAGATGCATAGTGCTTAACTACAATGGGTTCGACATGATCTATGGCATACACAGCATTATCCCTCATTTGATATAATACCTACACATCGCTCATTATTACCCCGAGTCCGAATTTTGATTGTTGCTCAGCGTCCTATACACCGAGAGATCGACATCCTGCGCGGGGTCACGCCATTCCCCGCTTTTTATATTGATCTGATACGAACAACGGAGAATTTCGACCGGATTCCTGGTCTTGATGTATCGACCGATTGGCATAGAACGAACGACGGAAAAACTGTAAGGCTCACATATCGTGGATACCTTCCTTTCAGATGCGCAGGAAACTAGAAGTGAGCATGCAAGGGTCAAATCGATGTTCTATGAGGTATCATCTCTATCTATCTATATCTATGCCAGTATCTATACATCAAAAATCGACTGCTTGTACACCGAAGGATCAATGTACGGAGTTCCTCCACGCTTGGTGAAGCCCCAGCGGATCTGGTTAGCCATGGAGATCTCCACGCCAAGATGCTGAGCAAAGGTCCAGGCCAGACCGGGGTCCTTCTGGAATCCACGACCAACAAGGGCAACGTCGATATCTTGCTCCTCGAGAATCTGATTCGCCTGCTTGCCGTTGGTGATGGCGCCCACGGCGGCAACCAGCAACTTGTCGCCTACGGCCTTCTTCACGGCTACGGCAAAGGGCACTTGGAAGGCAGGGCCGGACTTGATCTTCTGCTGGGCGAGAACACCACCGGTGCTGATATCAATCAGATCGACGGCGCCCTGCGTGACCAGCGCCTCCGCAAACCGCACTGTATCATCCGACCCCCAGCTCTGCCCCGGCAGGGTCTCCTCGCACCAGTCCGAGGCCGAAATGCGCAGGAAAACGGGAACGTTGGGGCCCACGGCCTCACGGGTCAACTGCGCAATCTCGAGAGACAGCCGGATGCGGTTCTCGAACGATCCACCGTACTGATCAGTGCGGTTATTGGCGGCAGGCGACAGGAACGACGAAAGCAGGTATCCGTGCGCGTTGTGAATCTCGACAAAGTCCGCACCGGCGGCGAGGGCGCGCTTGGCGGCCGCCACCCAGTCCTTCTTGAACTGCTCGATCTCCTCCAACGTCATGGCCTTGGGCTTGGCGAAGGGCTCCGCAAAGGGGATATCGCTCGGCCCCTTGACGCGATCGGGCCATCCACCGACCTTCTCCGTCGCGATGGCAGAGAACGAGATCCAGGGAGCAACGGTGGTGGCTTTCCGGCCGGCGTGGGCAAGCTGCACGCCGATCTTCTGGCCCTGGCTGTGCACAAAGTCGATGACCCGGCGCATGGGGGCGATCTGCGAGTCCTTCCACAGACCGACGTCCTGGGGAGTGATGCGGCCTTCGGCCTGGACGGAGGTCGCCTCAATGATCATCAGGCCAGGTCCGCGTTGCGCGATCCCACCCAGATGGGCGATGTGGTAGTCGGTCATGTGGCCATCCTGGGCGGAGTATTGGCAAAGGGGTGCCAGCTGAAGGAAATTAGCTTTCGTCGATATGAACAAGGGCAAAAGGACTTACACCAAGGCGGTTCTGGAAGGTAACGCCACGGATGGTCAAGGGCGTGAAGAGCTTGGGGATCTTCTGGCCATTGGTCTGAGGATTAGCTGCTGTACCAGCAGGAGGGTTCTGAGCCGGAGTGAAGTAGGGGATGCCCTCGGCAGGAGGCACGTCGATATCAGCGACAGTCATTTTGTTGTGGTAATAGTTGTCAATGGTATTGATGGTCGATACGAAACTCTTATGGCAGGATCTCTAAATATATACATTTCAATCCAGGCACAGAAATCAGTAGAACTTTACCAATTCCAAGAATAGCTCCACTTCTTCAGGCTTGATTTACAATCTTGCCGAGTAGTGGAGACTTTCCTCAGGGGAGCTGGACTAGAAACTGAATGTCGAATGGCCCAAAGTCGAGGCATATCGCGGCCATAGCTCGGCGACGCGTAGCTGTCCTCGGGTAGACGTGTGGCAACGATATCGATTGCCCAGGCACCAGACAGTTGCTGTGTCAGAATTGCCTACAAAGGCAAAAATAAGGATCAACCCAGTGCAATCCTTGCCTCTGCCGAAGAAAAATCGAAAATTGGACGTACCACAGTGGAGCATCCAGATTGATGCCTTAATCAGCAGGCGGAGACTCGGAGGAAAATCAGCCCAAAAAAGTCTCCGAGGATGACTAACTGACTCTTGCCAGTTGGCCACAGAATTGTTAATTTGCCCTGAGACCTCGACAAACGATACGCATTCTCCAATGAAAGAGGGTAATCTCTACGTCCACCAGCAGAACAAATATTTCAATGCAGAGGCGATCTCGCCAACTATGACATGAGTCTCATATTCCTGTTTGTGCCATACGTAACGAGACGCTGTGGGTTGACTGTCTCGGGGGAAAACGAGTATATATTCTAAATCTTTCCAAGTCTAAACCAAAATCATGTATCCAAGTCTATAGTGCAATATGTATATGTGTATATGCAACAGATCATTGCAATGTAACAGTCTTGCCCTTTGGCCCCCCTCCGCACTCATACACCGCCAGCAGTGTACGATGGTCCAGAGCCAAAACACCCGGCCAGTGACTAGAATGGGGGCAAATCACCGTTGGCCGGGTCCAGGAGATACGTCCGTCTTGCGGTGGCCCCGCAAAGACCATCTTGATACACGCGTTCTCGGTCCACTGCACGTCCCGCTCATCCTCGTCCGTCATGAAAATCACCGCCAATGAGCCGTCTGCAAAGGATGCAATCTGCGGCGCTCCGGCATTGTGGCCTCGTGGCGGCACATACACTTCATGCCGCCATCCCCAGGTCAGGCCGTCATCATACGAGATCAACGCTTCGAGATTGAATGTGCCGTACCGCGTCGTCTCGAAGACCATCACCAGTGCCTCGCGGCCATAGTCAACAGTGGACGCGATTCCCGTCATGCCATCGCGGATTCGATCGTTGATACCCTCGAGACACTCTGGCTGCGACCACGACGACCCCTGATCGAACGACCGCACCAGCATCGTGCACTGATTATCGTGGGCGTATTCCTGTGAATAGAACAGCTGAACCTCCCCTTGACGGCCGAGCCGCATGAACGGCTCCCAGATTCCATTTGGAGGGGACTTTTCAACGGCCTGTGAAGCGTACTGCCAACTGCGACCGCCGTCTGTGGACCGGCAAACTGTTATACGGAAGTGTGTAGGTCCGCTGGGACCGAGATCGTGGTTGCGAAACGCTCCGAGGATGACAGACGGCGCAACTTCAAGGATGAACAGATTATCGCAGTCGCCCTGACTGCGTGTCACCTCGCCAAAGTCGTGGAATGTGCGACCGCCATCGGTACTTTTGGCAACGGTTAGGATGCGAGTTTGGCCGGCGAAGCGGGTGAAGGCGGAGAGGATGGAGCCGTCGGACAGTCTGGCGAGACGGGGGTATGTACCGGAGGCATCAGAGGAGAGAAGCCGTTCGTCGTTGTTGATCAATCGGTTGCCTGGAAGACGGGTGTCGTTCTGGGGCTGGAATGGCTGTTGGCCACGCTGGTCGTCCAAGCCAAATGTTTTGAGGATTTTCTGGCCAAGGTGTCCGGGCATAGTGTGTAACGTGTCTGATGTTCCAGTATCTATGCAGTTAGTACAATGCAAACGCAACAAGGTTACCCTGGAGCTGCTCAGGTTCTTTAAGTGGTACAAGAGAGGTAAACCTCTGGCAGCCTTGACTGTTGTGGGGGACGCGGAATGCCTCAGGCTCATGACGTCAGATGACAGGATCGCCTGCCAATCATTGGCTGTTATGCGCACGGAATAGTAATGTTCCAGCCGGCCAAGACACGAATGTAGCTGCCTGAGGAATGACAATGGCGCATATCTCTCACTCTGATTGGAGGAAAGAGTCAAGCTTATTGAGAATGCGGGGTAAGCTGGTCATGAACAGACAAGGATTGAAGCTGCCTGACAATAACATAATGGCAGACCCTGGATAGTAGACACCTCCATGGTATCAAGTCAGCCTGGGATCTTGTAACAATCCATCTTTTCAGCAAGTAGAATTCCAGTTTCCAGCTTCGATGGGTGAGGAACAATGTGTCCTGTGTCCGGATCCGTCCCGGATCTGGAACCCGTCGACCAACTTTAAAGCTGGAGGCAAATTCAATCTTGTCGGAGGAGCTGCGTGTCTGTGCTTGGGTACGTCTTGCAGCTGATCTCATGACCTGAGCATTATGTCGGTTCCTTTTGCGTGCTGGAACATTTACATCTCGTAGAAGCGTAGGATGTTGTCTCTGCCAACACTATAGTCATCTCTATAGGATCAAGTTGCGATAAATGTAGATACAATGTCGCTGCAGACATTACCTGTCCCCTCGGTACAGAGGATTATTCGTATCAGGCCTCTGCCTCATGTCCTTTCCGAGTCTTACAAGACTACTCGCACAGATCACTTTGCTCCTCTCCCAAATGAGCTCGTTTTCTTGATATTTTCCCTTCTTGAAGCAGAGCAATCCCCTCATGAGATCAAACTCGCCCAATGGAGTCCTCTAACTAGAGTCTGCCGACGGTGGCGCGATGTCGCAGAAACCCTCCTCTACCGGACCCTCCTGTTGAAGGACCGCAACCCTCGCATTGTCAAATGGTGGGCAGCTGATAAACAGAGGCTGTCAAAACTGCTGTCGACGTTGCAAAAGAGACCCCATCTTCGCTACTATACCCAATCTTTGCATGTCACCGTTGACAATGATACGTACTCTGACGATATCCTTCACATCATGGATCTTCTCCCTTGCGTTCGGCAAGTAACGATGCAGTTGGACCTTGTTAAAAATTCATACCTCCCGCTTCTGCAAAGCGTCGGAAGGATGAAGCTCGAAGAACTCGAGTTTGTCGGATACGGCGCCGCTCCTTCCTTAAACCTGCTGTTCACTATCTTGAGCCAGATGCCAACCATCAGGAGACTCTCCACCTACCGTTGGGGGTGGTGTCGGGATGGCAGCATATATACGAGCTTCGCACACGATGACAGTGCTTCTATGACAACAGAAGAACTATCGCAGCTTCTTCCACTTAATAAACAAGGAATATCCTCACTGACCAGCCTGGATCTGCAAGACCCAAAGACATCGATTGAGGTAACCGAATGTTTCCTTCGATGGCCCACTCGACTCGAGCAGATTAGCCTTTTGTCACTCTGCTACGGACCATACGAGAGTCAGTACGATGTCCGTAGCATCCAGCGACTGCTTTCGATTCACAAGGACTGGCTGCAGAAGATAACCCTGGGCCCTATTCCGCCCCAAGGAGGAGACATTCCCGACTTTTCAGACTTTCCTCGTCTTAACGATTTACATGTAACTCTGTATAAGTCTTCGTCCAAGGGGCGTGAGACGCCGTATGCTATCTACAAGAAGGTTGCAGCACCCAATCTCCGACATCTCGAAATCGACCTTGGCGATGAACGTCAGCCGGATGACCCGTGGGTGGCTGAGTTTCTTGCTCTTGTGCAACTTGAACGGAAGAAGTGCCCTCGACAAACATGTATCCAATGTGTGGATGTCAACTTCTGCCGATGGGGGGACTTGGCCCTGGGACTCGCGCGGAGGAGCAGTATCGGCTGTGAGAGTGTGCGATATGATATCGATGTCCAGTGACCACTTCGAATATCCTGCCCGGTGTCTTTAATAAGCCTGCAGAAATTCCTACACCAATGAAGAACTTGAACCTGGCAGATCGGATATTTACCGGATATTGCACCCTATCAGCTGCGCCTCAGACCACCAGACCAAGACTCCGCGCGGAGATGCCCAGTAACAATATAATTTCGATGCATGTCGATTAGAATTGTTGACTGGTCTCGAGACGTTCTTCGGATATCGTCAAGTTTCACACGAATTCTGTGCCGATCTTTCCAGAATATGTCTGTTTGCCCATTCCTCACAATGGCCAAGATAAGCGATCTTATTTGGCCTCCACGTCCGCTCCATGTAGATGTCGGATATTACGACACAACATGATTCATGTACCAGTGTCGATCACTCTGCCAGTCAAGCATAAAAGGCGCGAGAAATCATCCCTCACCAGCTCCATGTTCAGCAAGCTCACAAGAGAGGGGCGTGACGAAGGCAATATCCTTTGAACAATGAAGACATTCACCATCATTACCGCGCTGGCCCTGACAACCTGCGTCGCGGGACATGGATATCTCTATATCCCGAGTAGCCGCACCAGACTAGGAAACGAGGTATGCGACCAGTCGCAACGTCCCTGAACCAGCTGACAAGTCAGGCCGGCGTGGACTCCTGTCCCGAATGTGCCATCCTCGAACCCGTCTCGTCATGGCCAAACCTCGACTCAGCCCTCGTCAGTCGTAGCGGACCTTGCGGCTACAACGCCCGCGACAGCATCGACTACAACCAGCCCACCAGCAACTGGGGCACCGGACCAGTCGCCTCCTACACCGCCGGCCAAGAGATCGAAGTGCAGTGGTGCGTCGACCATAACGGCGATCATGGCGGTATGTTCAGCTACCGCATCTGCCAGGACCAGAGCATCGTCGACAAACTGCTCGATGCTTCGTACCTACCGACCCAGGCAGAGAAGCAAGCTGCGGAGGACTGCTTCGAAGCCGGTCTCTTGCCTTGCACAGACGTCAATGGGCAGGAGTGTGGGTATAGTGCGGACTGCGCGGAGGGTCAGGCCTGCTGGCGCAATGACTGGTTTACCTGCAATGGGTTCCAGGCGTCGGAGAGACCCAAGTGCCAGGGGGTGGATAATGCGCCGTTGAACTCATGCTACACCTCGATTGCTGGTGGGTATACCGTGACCAAGAAACTGAAGATTCCTGACTATGTGTCCAACCATACTTTGTTGTCGTTCAAGTGGAATTCGTTCCAGACTGGGCAGATCTATCTCTCTTGTGCGGATATTTCCATTTCTTAGGGTGTCCAGCTCTGGATAGATATCGACCGTTGATGGGAACTCATTTGTACACAGTTAATTCTCCGCACGCCTGTTGAACAGTTTACAACTGGGGATTGATAGTGGTACTTTTCTGATTCCCAGGGGTGCCAATACTGGAAGTTAGGGTCTCGAATACAAGAATGGTTTAGATAGAGACACTGGGATCACTACTAAGCGTGATCTTATGACGATAAGTTGGCTTGACAGGAGCTGCCCTACGCGAAAAGGACAAGTATACCCAGGTGTAAGAGAAGGAGGCTTGCTAGTGATGAATCTCTCAGGATAGGAAAAGTTCATACAGAGTAATTGTTCAAAAGAGTGACAAACTCGTCTCGAGTCACTTTTCCGTTACTGGGCAAAACAGACAGCAACCTAGACATAAATAGAACCAATTCTCACCAGACCCAAGTTGTGGTCCACACCTGACTCGATATCAGGTATAGGGCCCATGGGGACGATACCTTTTGGATTTATGTCGGCTTGGTTCTTGGGATCTGTCCGAAGTCAACGGATGAATAATATGCAGCTCCCTCAGACTGCACCTACAGCTTTCCTTGATATGCTTGAAATTAGTGGTTTCCCTGAATCCTTCCACGTTATAGTATAGATTCTTCAGCCAGTTGTTGATAGTCGGATAATTGTGCCGGATCGTTCCCAGGTTGCACTTGCAGTGCTGGACGTAGATGGGATCAAACCGGATGATGGTCGTGTACGCTCTCAGATCTACCTCGCTGATGTGCTTACCCAGGATAAACGGACCACCACTGTCATGGATGAGTTGCTCGAGCCGGTTGAGCGCTCGAAAGACAGCTGGAACCGCCTTGTCGTAGTCTGCCTGAGTGGCCGCGCCTCCGGCCTTGTAAACGCCAGCGTTGAGATCTGGCTGCATCCAGGCAGTGATCTCGTCAATCCGAGACCGCAGAGTATCGGGGTATAGCTGTGTTCTCTTGTGGACTACCGGCAGAATGGGGTCGAATGCGTTGGGTAGCCAGCGAAGCATCTCGGCAGAGTCGTTGCTCACAATTGTTTCCGTCTCCTTATCCCAGAGCACTGGGACGGAGTACGGTCCTTTGTAGTCCTTGTCAGCTCTCAGGTAGATTTCGCGCAGAAACTCGCTGCCATAGAGATCGTCGACTGTTGCGCCGGGATATTCGTCGTTGGTCTTTGGGAATTGTAATCCCTCCCCTTTGATGTTGGGGTATGGTCTGACCACGGACATGGAGATAATATCGGTCAAGACACAGACATGACGCACCAGGTTGGGCCGGTGAGAAAACGGGCAGAAGAGCCCTGTCGCCATGTTAGTCAGATATCTTGATTGAAATGAGTGACCAACCAATGTAGAGATGGTAGCGTCCTGCGACGGGAGGAAAAGGTCCGTCTTTAGAGATAACCCCGTGCCAACCATCATTCGTTCCTGGTTTATGGGCCATCTTACTGACTATCAATTACTTGATACTCTCCTGGGTGTTGTTTGAAGATTGAAAGCCAGCAAAATGCAATGTACAGACTGTCCAGCACTGAGGTAACAGAACGCTGCTGACGTCAGGCGGAGCAAAAGATGTTCCCCGCATGTATTTCATCATGCTGCGAGCAACTACTATTAATCAGAGGACCAAGATAGTTTCAATTACATCGAAGTAGCAAGCAGGCAAAATATTACTGGTATCATTTGCTCACTCAGATAAGTTCCCGATAATTGCTTGCTAGCTGTGACTACCTCGAGCGACTGGGGACGAGTTTCGCAAGTAATGGACAACAACGCTGTCGCAAGATGGTTTTTGCATGTTATGAAGCAGACAAAGACATAGGAAATGAGAGTCGACATGAATCTAGCAATTCACTGGTCGGCTTCGAATACAGGATCAATACCCCCTGGATGCTTCCTCACCATCAAGAGACCGATTCCCTCAAGACGCTTCGTCCATGATCATGAAGAGACCTGACTGCTGACTGAGAATTAGTCGTCTTCCTCTTTGTCATTTTCATCGCTTTCATCGCTTTCATCGGTTGCATCGATTGCATCGATCGCATCGAATTCCTCGCATTCCTCGCAATCCCCGCATCCGCATTGGCTCTCGGTCCGAGCCCATGGGTTGACCCATTCGTCCTCGTTCTTGGCCTCTATAGTATCGGTAACCTCTTGGATCTCTCGCTCCGACATGTTACGAAACTCGGCCGTAATTTTCGTCTCGTTTGGGACCTCATATATTGTCCAAAGATCCAGCAGGACCTCGAAGTCCACTTTCTTTCCCTGGCCCCGAGGCCCCGTGTAGGCACTCAAATAGCATCCATCGCGACCGCCGTCCAGCACGGATGCCCTGAACCTGTCTAGTTCGGCGAGGGTGTTGTACGGACAATGCCAGTCATCGGCCATTTGAAGACGATCGTCCATCACCTTAATCCAGTAGCCCCAGTCTTCGTTCCAGCCGTAGTGGATGGTATTGTGCTCGTCGGCTCGATCATCCGTGATGTACCACGACTCTTTCTTCCATCTTTCGATTATCAGAGACAACTCAAAACGTGTAGACGGGTAATAGTAAACTTACTTCTTTGAAGCCATGGTGAACTTGCGCGTTCGCGGTGGCAGGTTCTTGTCAAGGCTGTGGATGGAGTAGCTGCGGATGAGAGGGGAAAGAAGAAAGGGAGAAGACAAGGAGAATTTATATCCAGGTATGATCTCATGCATTCACCCATAGCATGAAGAATTTGCACATAATAGAAAATTCCGGGCTCTGGTATAGAGTGAACGCGGGTCTGCCTATGGTGTCCAGCCAGTAGAACACGACAGCCTTCTTGTTAGACTCTCAAGAAGCGGAGACTCACGCAGTGCAGTGCAATTGAGGTGAATATGAGGCCAAAGAAAAGAAATCATCTCCCATCAACTGTCTTACGAGAGAGGGCAAAACCTCTTGGGAAAGACAAACAGGAAATATGCGTCATCTTCGGACGCTCTTCCTCAAGCTAGAGCATGCGCAGTATTCTCGAAGATACAGCTTCATATTTCCAAAAAAGACAGTACAACTCTGGGTTCCAGTGAAACTTCCCGGAACCGGCTCCAGTTTGGTAATCCACGGGCCCTGAAAATCTACATGCTGCAGTAGACAGAGCAAAGATTCACATCTTGAAGTGGTTGCGAGTCACCATGACACCCTATCGAGCGATGCTATCGCTATCAAAGCTTCACTTCTTGGGAAGAAGATGGTAAATACTCCGTAGAGTGTCAATTTCCTGACTCCTAGAGACTGGATTCGAAATCACAAAACTAACGCGATACTGGTCTCCTTCTCAGTTGTTCAATGTACAGATGGTGTCAAGGAACATGGATCTTCTGCCATGTGTTTGTTCTTGGAATCATGAGGCACACGAAGCTGTTGAGGCAAGAAGCAACCGCCGGAATGGATTACTGTTTATGGTTACTGACCCACTCCGGATCGGATGTCGCGCTCATTGGCTGACAGCATCGTGTTGCTCACCGAAAGGAGTAGATGCACCCACCGGAACATGGCCGTCCAAGTATATAACAATTATCTGCCACAAAGACGAGGCATAGCATATCAATTTCATCAAGATCAACACGCCATTTAGCTCCATATCATTGACCCCTTCGTCCTGCGACTCAAAATGAATTCCAACAGTATTACCGTTTCCCTTCCTCAACTCGCAAAAATGATCGACCACTCTCTCCTCCTTCCGACGATGACTGACGCCGATATCCTCGCAGGGCTTAAAATTGCCCGAGATCACAAAGTGGCTACTGCCTGCGTGAAACCATACTCTATTCCTCTCGCCGTGAAAAAATTGGCCGAGACAGATGTCCTCATCTGCCCCGTTATCGGATTCCCGCACGGGAACAGCACCACTGAGATTAAAGTGGCCGAAGCAATCGCGGCGGTCAAAGCAGGGGGCGCTGAGATCGATATGGTTGTTAATGTTGGTAAAGTCCTTGGCGGCGATTGGGAGTATGTGACCGAGGAGATTCGACGGATCAACGACGCTGTCAAGGCCGAAGGCGCCTTGCTAAAGGTTATTTTCGAGAATGATTATTTGAAAGACGACCATATTGCACGGCTTTGTGAGATCTGCACAAGGCTGGATGTTGCGTTTGTCAAGACTTCGACGGGATATGGATTCGTGAAGCAGACGGACGGATCATATAATTACAAGGGCGCGACTGTTAGGCATCTCAAGCTGATGCGGGAGAAGGCTGGTGAGAAGGTGCAGATCAAGGCCGCTGGCGGCGTCAGGACCTTGGACGATTTGCTGCATGTCAGGAGCTTGGGTGTCACTCGTATTGGCGCCACAGCTACCGTGGCTATTCTGGAGGAGGCGAGGAAGCGCGGCATCGGAAACGAGCCTGTTGAAGTATCCTTCAAGCCAATGAACGATGCAGGGGAAACGGGTGGATATTAAAATAGTTTCGGCTTATCATTGTGGCGGGTTGGTCCAGTGTGATAGCTGATATTGGAGCGCACTTCTTCAGTGCAATATGATATACCTATCGGACCCTTGGATAAGTGCAGTTCTATTTGACCCCTAAAGATCAAATCCAATGACTTGATGTACCATGAGTAGACCCTGATAAACCCGAATGAGCATCAAACTGCCAATACGTTAAGATGCCTTCAGTCATGAAACGGTAGGGTATCCGGTCCCCAAATCCACGTTTGTTCCAGCATTGAGAGCCCTTCATCGTGTAATGTCCGGTCGTGTGATGTATCAGTGGCCAATGGGTCAGGATCAGCCCAGGAGCTGTTAACATACGATGAAAGCACTAGATCCGTTCAGTTTGCGACAGTACAATTTAAATATCTTGATCAACTCACCTTGATCGAAATCATAGAGCGCCTCCGACACAGAAACGTCCTCCGCATACTGAAGATGCGAAAAGTTGCCGACACAGTTAGGTTCGGGCATGTCTATCCGGGCCTCTGCTTCTTGAGTGTCCTGGGGATCAGACACGCTCAATTGTCGGTCCGTCTGCAGGACAGCCCTAGCAGCATCGTGAGCCGATCTCCTCGTGCGCTGACCGCTTGAAGATTGCTTCGGAGAAAGTGTGCCTGTTTGAATGGCGTTGAGATTGGAATCTACACCGCTATGTCGCTCTGGCCATCGTATGGGCTTCGAAACATCGAGCATCATGCTTAGCTCTTTGTCCAGGACGAGTCTAGTCAATCTCTGAAGAATATCTAAGCCTTGCGTAGCTAGTAGGGATCGACTTGTCAATTTCACTTGAATGGCCATAAGTCGATGCAGCCCAACTTTGGCTTCTTGAGCCTGCGGCGTGAGCGGCTCAACACTGCCTAGGATTCCAAGAGCAACTCCCGCGGTGAACGTATGGATGCTAACAAAGGCAGCTGCATAGGTTTCAGAGACAAGGTCAAGAATAGGGCTGTTCACGAGTTCGGACAGGCTCATGCCTGCATCGTGACATGCCCTCATCGATCTCAAAAAAGGATTCTCTTGGATGGTCTCAAGACGAGACATATCATCCAGCTTCTCGTCAGCTTTAGTCACGAGCCTGTACGACAGAAGCGGCCTGTGAGTTAGGATCATGGCGTTTTCATACGCAAGCTTCAGTGCTAACGACTGAAGGTGGTAGATATGACTGTCGAATCGAACACCCGATGCGCCAATATCTCGATCGAATTCTTCCTGAGATGAATAGCTCACGCGGGTAGAAGCAAGCGTCTCCCAGCGTAGTTTGGGAGGGATATCAGCTCGCCAGTTCCGAAGTCTTGCATCCAGACTAGCTACCTTCATAACAACAGCGGGTAAGCTCGAGCCAGACTCACCAGAAGCCCTGTTATTGTTTACTAGACCGGGCCCAATTCCATAGAGCTCGGTGAGGACCGCTTTGGTAAGAACGGATAATTTGGACATGTAGTACTTGTACGACAAAAGGGTGGTCTCGCATCTCAACGGTTCATCAAAGGACACAGGTGACGGAGCATTCCGTTGCTTCGCGGACGGATTCAGTGGCTCAACATCGCAGTCTGCGTCTTTGATGCTATGAGGATAGCCGTAAGACATCGAACAGAACGTCTCTATCTCGTAGATGGCCCACCAGCAACGCTTCCTCGTTTCATTCTGGCTGCGCTCGATAGGAGTTAATGACAAGGTGGCATGGTCTTTATCGACCTTGCGGTGTAAGTTGAGCGACTGGGCAACCCGAAGGCCGCAGCCGCAGACCGGCCATGCTAGCCGAGGAGAACCGTGGAAGAGATAGTATGTTCCTAATAGGATGCACGTTTGAACCACCTCTAACGACCCAACCGAGATAATATCCAGCAAACTGGATTTTATGGCTTTAAGAATGCTCTGCTTGAGCGCCTCAGGTTGAACTTCGTGACGAGCAAGGAGACCTTGTCGGTAGGGTCCGGCATAGTGCGCTCCAATAGCAATGACCATCAAAAAAGTGCTGAGGAATCCTAGATCGTTGCAATCTTCACTTGCGCGGTCTAATTGTGTCTTATACAGGTGTGGCCAGTCTTGACGAAAGTCATCCTGTTGAAAGATGAGCATAAACCAATGAACTCTGTCGAAATAGGTATCGACGAGTAGCTCAGCAGCTTCGTAAGGCGGCAACAGTGACCTAAGTTCTGTCAGAGCTGGCGGCGATGAGTACATCAGCGGGGGCATCGGACGTAAAGCCCGTCTTCGTGTCCCTGAACCGCAAGGTGGACGGACGCCCGGCTCAACGACTTCCCTATGCCTGATTTCGCGATTTTCTCCGACAATGTCCTGCATGGTGCCTCCAGGAATGGCATCCATTACCGGATCACGAGGAGTTGCGACATTGTGTAATTGAAATGCCTGTGTCTTTTGATCAGAAACCACAGTGGTTTAATATGAACACGGAGTCTCTCACGCCATTCACTAAAGACAGGGTCGAGCTTGAGTTCCATATCGGACAGTTAGCCTTGTTAAGACGCCCATCCGTAGCAGAACCAGAATCAGTTAGTTCGCTTGGAGCAGAATCTGTTCCTGTATGGCAAATTTCGGCATGTTCAGCAGAGTTATTATTCGCATCAGGACGCGCTCTCCGCGGTCGTTTAGAATGCGGTTCGCTGGTAGAGTGCTGGCGATCTCGGTAGACTCTCCACCGGCTGGTCGTGGCTGGGAGACATTCAGCCCCAGCTCTGGAGCACAATGTGCACGGACGGTTGACATCACACTAGAGAATATATCTTAGCTTATTTCTTATGACAGAGCACGCTGAATGACCTTCAATTTCTGGCGGCGACATCTTTGACACGCGGTCGGCACCTTTCTTGGAGTTCTCGTGGAGACCATTGAGACTTCGTTCTCCATTTCATCCACTCATCGGAGTAATAGGTGAATCAAGCATGGAGCTGTCATATTTCAGTTCCTTCTTGTGTAATAGAATCGTGCCAGACACTCGGGGAGGATGGATGGAGAGAACAAGTCGCCGGTGTGGGATTAAACGATGTCCACGATTAACGTATTTCCCCACCGAGTCGGCCACCGCCTGCTAATTCCTAATTACTAGGGCCTTTATCAACCAAGCAATTGCATTGCTATCTAAAAATTACTTAGGAACTCAATTAGGACATTGCAATTGCTTATGTCCTAGATTATGATAATCACTGCAGCGTGGTAGCGCTCATACGCGCAGCCTAACTGCAGAAAGCGCTAGATCTATAGGAAGCACATCTTAAGCTTTATAGACCTTATTCTCATACTAAAATTCCCCTAAGCCCTCCTGAATTGCTAGCCCCTCTGTAATAGCTAGCTGCCTAGTAGATTGTTTTCGCTTTTTGCCTTCCCATTCATTATTAGCATGAAGTTTGCATATTTCTTCGCGCGCAAGAACAAGCTCATTCAAAGCTAATTCATGGCCTTTAATAAGCTTGTCTAATCGCGTATCTAGTAATAATAAAGGGCTTTGAGCACATTCCCTAAGCAGTTTTCTTACTGCAGATGCCTGCTTTTCTAGCTGCCTAGTCATATATAGTGTTTTAGGCGCTGAATTAGTTGATTAACTGCCTGGTGGTGTAGGGGTTTTTAGTTAGATATCTAACTTGCTAAGCACCCTGTCTGGATTGAATGGAACTAGGCCAGCGCCTGTAAAACTATTTTTAATAGTTTCTACTTGAAAAGTGCTTTTATAAGCAGCTGGAAAGGCCTCTAGAAAGTCAAATTTATTAATATAATTGACTCCTAGACATGCTTTCTGCTCTATTAATGTTCCATACACCTTTTTAAGAGGCGAAAAGCAGCCCACATCTAGAGGTTGAAGCTTATGGGAAGAATGAGCAGGCATGTAGATAGAAATTATATTGTTTTCACTGCAGATTTGATCAAATTAAGGTGTAAGATGGCTGCCATGGCCATCAAGAATTAAAAGATGATATTTCCCAGTCGTACGACTAGAAGTAGCAGGAATAAAGAGATTTTTAAGCCAGTGAAGGCCTATCTCATCAGTAGTCCATCTATTAGGACTAACTTTAATTCTGCTATCGCGTGGAAGCTTAAAATCTTGATACTAACCCTCTATATGGACCTTTCCTTTGAAGATAATGCATGGAGGAAGTGCCCAACCAGTAGAATTAATGTATTTAATTAAAGTCACCTATTCCTGATTGCCTGGCTGTATAAGAGAGGCTTTTCCATAGTAATTAGCTCTAGTAACTACTTAAGCAGTAGCTACTAGGCCTATAGCGAAGCTAGTCTTATTAAAATTATAGATATCCTCCTGTGCAATCCCATGTTGCATTATAGTGATTTATACATGATTAAACTACTCTTTGATTATCTTAGGGTCTTCGCATTTCGCTCATTGATAATTATAGCGTTGGGTATAGCGTGTTTTTAGTTCATTACGTTGTTTAATGAACTTAGAGACCTAGTTCTTTCTAACTTTCTGAATAGGTGTTGTACCGCGCGCAGTAAGAAGAATATCAGCCATTTCTTATATATAGGATGGTCAGGGAGGCGCTCCGCGTTAAATTAGTGATAGAATCCATTGTATAAGTGATTCCTCTTCATTTTGAGTCAGTTTATAACTATTAGCGCGTGTCTCTGAGCATGTTGTCTTTCCGCGTAGTCGATCTTGCAAGGTAGAACAAGGCACATTATAGATACGTGCTGCTTCATAAATGTTGCAGATTTCTTGATTTTTTAAAGCAGAAATAGCAAGCAGGAGACTTCTCTCCCATTCTGCTGAATTTCTTAAATTTTGACACAATTTTGGAGGCATGGTAGATAGTTGAATTGAGTAGTGCATAAAACGCGTAGATTTTTGAAGAGGTGGCCGACTCGGTGGTGTGGCCGACTCGGTGGGGAAATACGTTATTGGGTTTGGTGCCTGAGGTGTCGGTCGGTCTATGTCCCATCCCACCTCTCTAACCCTTCAATTTGCTCAAACTGCGTCAACTTTGGGTAGATGGATGTAGGGGGTCAGTGATCTCATACTCTAATATATTAACTTTTGCTAATATGTAGCGACATAAATTAGGAGGGCGGTTACAGATGCACCACGAGAACTTCGTGTTTCTGTATCTGTCACTGAGGAATACATTATGGTCTGCTGGGATGCTTGAATGGCATTCAGATCGCCGAAGAAGTTCAAGCCTTGAGAAGTAGGCTTTGTATGGAGTGAATTTACACTCATTCTCGCAATCTAATAGCTCCTCGGTAATTGCAGCACCTTTTCACTGACATAATTCAAGATCATCTCCCGACTCACCGGGGCAATCCGAGGAACAAAACATTCCCTCAGATACCGCTCAACATCATACTCCATGGCGTAACCCATTCCTCCATGGGTCAGAACAGCCCTTTCACACGCCGTGAATGCTGCCTCAGCAGCAAGGTACTTGGCGCTGTTACAAGCCACCCCGACCGAATGGAACGGAATCGAACTATCCGTTCGCGAGGCATCATACAACCGCGCAGCATGGTAAGTCGCCAACTTGGCCGCTTCTAGCTTCATATACGCATCTGCCAGCGGATGTGCGATACCCTGATTCTGTCCGATGGGACGTCCGAATACAACGCGGTCGTTGGCGTATTGCGTCGCGCGCTCGAGCGCCGCATACCCCAGACCTAGCGCCTCACCGGCCAACAAACACCGTTCTGCGTTCATTCCGTGGAGGATGATCCTGAACCCTTCATTTTCTTCTCCTACCAGCGTGTTTGCGGGGATCTGGTAGTTGTCGAAGAAGACCTCGTTGGCGTCAACGGCGCGACCGCCCATTTTCTTGATCTTGCGCATGTCCAGACCGGGTTTGTCGCGGTCAAGGTCAATGCAGAACATTGATAAACCGTGCGTGGATCTCTTTACTTCTTCGACGGGGGTTGTCCGCGCGAGCAGAATCATCTTGGACGCGACTTGTGCACAGGTGATCCAGATCTTTTGCCCGGTGACCGAGTAGGAATCACCGGAAGCATTTTTGATGGCGGTGGTTTTGAGCTTCAACGTCTCTAGGCCCGTGTTAGGCTCTGTGACGCCGAAGCAGGTCCGCCATGTTCCATTGATGATTTTGGGAATCGTCTCCTCGAGCTGCTCCTTGGTGCCGAATTTGGCCAGCGGCTGTGTTGCATACACATTGGCATGGATGGCCTGAGCACCGGCCATTCCTGCACCGGATTGAGTAATGGTCTGCATCATCATTGTAGCTTCCGAGATTCCTGTTCACAGTCAGTAGACTAGTCTCTGGCTACATTGGACATGATGTACTGACCCAATCCAGCACCTCCCAATTGCTCCGGCAAAGCAATTCCCAACCATCCATCCTTGGCTAGTGCGGCATGGAACTCTTTGGGATCGCGCTCATTCTGATCACATTCCTGCCAGTAGGTGTTGGGAAATTTATAAGTGATTGCTGAGATGGCGTCGCGGACAGTGAGTTGTTCTTCAGTAAAGCCCGTCAGTTCCATCAGTGGCCGACGCGCCGAGGTTGAGAAACGCGATCGGACGAGCGGCCGTTGCAGTCGGACAGCTGATATCCTATGACGAAATGCTCTTCTGGCCAGATACGACATTTTTAATCTTCGACCTATAAATCTTCGTTCTTTCGAGGCTGAGAACTGACCATATAAACATGCGAGAAAATCATGCCGTGTAACCGCCATAGCCGTTAACCGGCAAGTTAACCGCAGACCCCGCACATCCCAGATGACGATCATTTGGAGTTCGGGGAGCATCCTGATCTCCTTATGTGAAGTAATAAATAGCCGTATGGCTTTAAGAAATGAATATCGACGCATAATGGCTATTGTTCGACCCTCTGTACGGGCTCTGCCTCGACAATTCCTGATCATCCACCGCAATTCGTCAACAAACACCCCCGCCACACAGAACAACACCAGACGCCAGAAAAAGAAAGGCCCTTTGTCCGGCATCACAGTTGTCAGTCTCGAACAAGCCATTGCAGCACCATTCTGCACCCGCCAACTGGCTGATCTCGGCGCTCGCGTCATCAAAATCGAACGACCTAAGGTGGGCGACTTTGCCCGCAACTATGACACTCGCGTCAACGGCCTCTCTTCGCACTTTGTCTGGACCAACCGGTCAAAGGAAAGCCTGGCCCTCGATGTCAAGAATCCCAGCGACTATCACATACTCATGCGACTACTCTCATGCGCAGACGTCCTAGTCCAAAACCTCGCCCCAGGAGCAAGTGCCCGACTAGGCCTGTCATTCGCAGACTTATCGGAAAAGCATCCCTCTCTGATCGTCTGCAACATCTCCGGCTACGGGCCGGATGGACCTTACCGCGACAAGAAAGCGTATGATCTCCTCATTCAGAGCGAAGCGGGTCTGCTCTCCGTCACGGGCACGGGTACCGAGCCTGCAAAAGTCGGCATCTCGATTGCGGACATCTGCGCGGGCAGCTACGCTTACTCAAATATCCTTGCTGCATTGTTCGAGCGTGAGAAGGACCCCGAGCGCCGTGGACGCAATATTGATATCTCCATGCTGGAGAGCATGGTCGAGTGGATGGGATTTCCCATGTACTATACCTACGGGGACCAGCCGGGCCCAACCCCTGCGGGCGCGTCGCATGCGGCGATCTATCCGTATGGACCATTCGAAACGGGTAAGGGCACGGTCATGCTGGGGATTCAGAATGAGCGGGAGTGGGCTAGGTTTTGCGAGATCGTGCTGGAGAGGCCGGAGATGGCGATGGATGAGCGCTTCTGTAATAATTCCTTGCGGGTGAAGAATCGGGCTGTATTGAGGGAGACAATCTGTAACGTGTTCGCATCTTACTCTGCCGAGGGAATATTACAGCGCCTGGATGAGGCGGGTATTGCGAATGCCAGCGTGAATGATATGCAAGGCGTATGGAACCATCCGCAGTTGAGAGCCAGGCAGCGCTGGACACAGATACAGACCTCTGCGGGGACTGTGCCAGCGCTGTTTCCTCCGGGAATGGGGCCAGAGGGGTTTGAAGCCCAGATGGGTGCAGTGCCAGAGGTCGGAGAGCATAATGAGGCCATATTAGCTGAATTGGGGATTGATACGGACCTAGACTAGTGACTTCTTATGATTTGCATATCGAGCGGGGTAGTTGTGTCAAGATCAAGCGGGCCATGAGTTTGATACTCGAGTTTAACCGCTCGTGCTACTGTGTACGGAGTAAGTCTGGGTGACGACGGAAAGGATACGGTTGTGCGTGGCTTTTGCGCCAGAAACTGTGGCCTTTCCGCGCTGTGAATCGCTGCTTTATGAGAAAGGCTTCACTTACTTAGTCCTAGCGCCGGTCGCATTGTAGTAGACTTCTTGAGACAGCCCAGCGCGTACACCATGATCACAGGAAGCAATAGCAGAGCATTAAGGACCAAAGGAAAAAAGATAAAAGGACCTTCCTCTTCCTTCTCAGGATGTCGCTCTTCAACATGTTCGGAGACTCTAATATCGTGTATCTTGATCAGACTGCCTGCAGCCTTATTCACTCCCAATGGCTCGAAGCAAAACAAAGACTGATATTGACTGGAATAGCTTTGTTCAGCAATCAGAGCCAAAGGTTGAGGATGATCTCGCCGAGACTACTAAGAACTATATCTACCTTGTGAAGCAAAATTTTCTCAATTTGTATATCAGTATTGCGCGGACACTTGAACAGTATCCCTTTGGATGGAAAAATCTCCCTATCTCTGGCCTTATGTGCTATAAATTTGACGATGACTACTACTGGAAGGGATTCTGGAATTCTGTTGAGCCTGGTTGCTTGGATGAATCCCAGTTGATTGATATGATCAGAACAGGTTCGTATCCTTCAAAGCATCGTACATGAGGCACTGTTGACGGTCATGCTAGCCTGTGAACACTATTGCTATGGTCCCTAATTAGGCATACGTCTACTAAGCGTCCTTCAATAAAGGCTGGACCATCAATATGTTCCAAGCACTAGTGTAACTGAAGTACACATTGCCCACAAATCAATGTCTATTTGTATACAAGTTTATATATCAGTTTGAATTTTGATCAGGAAAGTCAACCTCTGGGGAAACGTACAGTCCACGGCACTGGAGATCTGTGCTTCCTCTACTGCAGCCATCTCACGCAAATAATGCGACTTAGGTGACCTAGACAATGACCTTATAACGCATAGCTATCTTCTGCCCCTTAGACTTTGATGAATGCTGCTTGAGTCCCGATGATTTCTGCCTCTAAGTGACCTTTGCACAGCCTAAGTCAATGAGCATGACATGCTGCACCTCGTCATTCTACAGTATGTTAGGGGCGTGCTTGTCAAGATGCTCAATGCCAGCATCGCTGAGCGAGTTCGAACCTTGTTCAGTCAATTTCATTCTTAAAGAAGGAATAATGGTCTTCCTTTAGCACCTTTCCACCCCAGGGCCATCAAGCACATATGCATAATTGCATGGGTTGGCTAGTAGTATATGTCCTGCCGCAGATAGATATCTTTAAGATAGATAGGGACAGCGTACTCCTGCAGAGTTTGGAGCGCATGGTAAATTCTGGCCTTGTAATGGAAAGTTTTAATAGTATCTTTGGTGACTCTGTTTAACTCGTTTAACTCTGGGCAATCCATTATTTCCCAGCCGATATTTCTGGGAAGTGAGTCTTCACATATTCGAAGCAAATTTCCTTCCCTATGGTCTGAATGGCGGTCATGATGCGATGCTGACTCTGATACGGAGTACGATACAGTAAGTCTCGAAATCAGCTCAATGCGATGCGGAAGATTTTCGAATGTACCTTCATACTCAAGGTTGAAACAACTCCCCATCGTAATCATCAAAAAGCAGCGGCATCTTCTTCCGAAAGTCCTGTGTTTCCTCCTTGTCCTGTGTTTCAGTACACAGGGTTTGGGGCCAGTACCAGAAACCTCGTGAGGCGAGCAGTCTATCAATATATTCGTTGAATGAGTATCGCGTCTTGTAGAGCTCTTCCCCACAATAATGAAAAGCAACGTGTTCACTGGGCGGACCCCACGAGTTGACGCGGCCGCCACGGCAAGGAGGTGGCTGGAGGAACGCAACGCATGCCTCCGGCACAAACATGTCAAATGGTTTCACAGAGCGGAACCCCTGACGCTCAGCGACTTCATCATCATCGTCGCTCTCGCCCTCACTTTCTGCCAACCATATGATTCCTTCCCACTCGTCAAACACCTCCTTTATAGGTAGAATCCTAATAAAACCCTGATCGCTCATGTCACCTGCCGCGATCTCCTGCACCGTGTGACGCCATTCCAAGCTCACCCAGCCCACGGCACGATAAAAGGTCTCCACGCCCGTGGGTAGTTGGCCCTTTGTGCTTTGTAGAACGGCCTGGATTTCCTCCTCGCTTGTGGGTGGGCCGATTTCAGCATCAAGCACTTCGATATGTGGTGTTTGGCGCAGGGTGATGAAGAGGCGCTCAAAGCGGGTGCGAATATCGGTCATCGTATGGAGGCTTGAATCGCAAATGCAAAACTTCCCTAGTTTATAGAGAGAACTCGGCTGTAGTGTTTACCAGACACTTCGATAAGAAAGACGAGAGAATCCAGCCTAATGCTGTTGAGCACGTGACCTTAGAGGAGCTGGGGGGAAACTGTACCTTGCTCAAATCCGATGAAGACCAGACGGGAGACTCGCAAAATACAACTGGGTTTGGAGGTTGAGGCTGAAAGAAAATTTCAATAAGATACCGAATCCTCGTGTTAGTCCCGTTCGCTGTTGATCTCTGCCCTTTCCTCGTGTCCTTGTGCTATCTCATTGGTGGGGACCCAGAATGGCAACGGTGCGGGCCTAAGCCTCCTGCCAGAGCAAGCGCTGAAGGACACAGGCGTGATGGAACTTCGTAGACTATGGAGTCTGCATGATAAGATGATCGACGGTTCGGGCGTTATCGCCCTGGATTTCGAGGTGGTCATGGTCATCCAGCGGATGTTGACTGCTTGGCGGTTCGGGTCGCGCCTTTTTAACAAAGTAGTCGGGTTGGACGCGCTAAAATCTGGCAACCACCAAGATATGTTCGCTACACCAGCGAATGACAACTTACACTAAACACCAAGAAAGTGGGTAGTGTGATTGAAAAGGATTTGGTTGTAGCTCCCAGTGATTACTGGGAGCAGTTTCCGAAAGCAGACCTTGAAAATATGTTGCAAACTAAGAGAAAGCGCCACCAGAGGGTTCGGTCTGAAGGCACAGCAATTACGGTATCAGTTAACGACCGAACGCATAGCCCTCTCGAGTGATTCTGCAGCTCTACTAACATTGATTGGATACCAGTGGAGAAGCAACTGCGTAAATGGAGCAATCTGCTTCGCTTGGAAAGAGGCTCAAGGTAACTATTGCCTTCAACTATGGGCAGGATAATGATGGCATCCATATGTCTACGTCAGGAAGAGGCGACAAAAGGAGCCGTGTGTCGGCGACCAGGAAAAATGCTCGCTGAACGTCAGGAGCAGATCGATGCGGAAGAAGAGAGAACTGGACGGCCCTCAAGTTGGAATCTTGTATATGGGCTGATGCGATGCAAAGTTCGCTCGTGTGCTTTAAAATCCCACTGTTGCTGGGATGACTCTACGGACAAGAAGCACTATAAGTTCAGAAGCCCGTATCTTGGACGACTTGCGGATTATGTTGATGGTGGTGGCAACCTAGAGAGTCATGACGATGTCCCTATAGCCTTTGGGGATATCCTGCACCATTCCGTAGCTCGGCTATGGATTTTGTCTTCTTGCTCAAGCACCGCGTGTTATCGAACCTCATTTATGTTCATGGCCATAGGGAACTGTGGCGTCAAGGAGAATTTCGTGGCATATGCCGAACTGTTGCGCTCCGAATAATACTTGAATAGACTCACTATTCCTATCGATACTGAATCCGTTTCTATTACTCCCTCAGGATTTTGACTCTCCCGTACCGTAATGGATGATATAGTGGCTAGCATCAACATATGCAATGCAGCTGAAGATGATAAAAGAGGATCTAGCTGGATTGTGATCTCTCATTCACACCGTCTATCCATTCTTAAATTCATCTTAAACGCATCCCCTGAGGCTCTGGAACGCCTACTTTTGTGCTTCGGCTGCCTTGAATCAGAAATATTTCAGGTGTACAAGATGGTTCTAAGCCTGTTGGATCTAAATGCTTTCATTGGTACACCGCATATGGAACGAACGCGAAGTTCCGTTGTAAGTATACACAGTCACAATCCCAATCCTTTGCTCCAGCTAACATGTTCAGTAATTAAGCTTCAGAAGCCTGCCTTACGGCGTCTCCGGAGACCAGATTCCCAATATCTCCAAAAGACGGGCCACGAATCTAGGAATACCTGGAAGACGTACACTACGCTTCACATAGAGCTGCTTGCAAGCTTCTCTCAGCATGTGTATTAAATGGCTTAGACATATTCGGAAAAGTCCCTGACCGTGTCCAAAATGCCAAATCGAATATCAGGATTATTGATGAGATTGTTGAGCAGACGAATATTGAGAGGGGCCGGCGTCCAGAGAAAGGTGTCATCGACCTGGTCGCCCTTAATCATTATTGGAAGCTGCGGCTTGCTGATTCACAGTACGAGACCGACCGAAAACACTTTTATCGATTCGAATATCAGTATTCCGCGGAGGCTTGAACAATATCCTACTGGTTGGAAAGATCTTCCCATCCCTGACCTCATGTGCTACAAATATTTGACGATGACTACTACTGGAAGGGATTCTGGGATTCTATAGAGTCTAGTTACTTGGATAAGTTCTAGTTGATTATTTTTATCAGAACAGTTTTGTATTCTTTAAAGTATTATATATGAAGCCTATTATCATTTCTGACGCCTAGACCGGACAGGTGGGACAGGATATGAAGCTTTACACCAGTGGGTTACAGGTTTGGCTTAGTCTTGACCTTACTACCCCTTTAGCATTTACTAAATGACGTGCCTCAAGAGCTGGATGATCTCAATATGCCTGCCCGTCTGGGGCATGAAGGGTATTCGCGCTACTCCTCTACATATGCGTAAGGAGGCCAATGAAAATCTGGCCCATGTGTTGGGAATGCGTACAACTATTATAACTATACTTCTGCCTCTCGTTGTCCATGAATATGGCCACAAAGCCGCTATCTGAGGGTATTCCACTTCTTATTGGGCGTTTATAAAAGAGGATGCGACAGGGATTCTCGGTATCGTTTAGTAGTCGCCAACCACCACCAAATCATTTAAGGTTGATAAAGAGAAGTCGAAAAGTCAGATAAACTGGATGAAAGGCCATGGATAGATTAATATAAACTATGATGTACATTTCGTCCTTTGTCACCCTATTCTGACAAGTAGAGCAACCCAGCAGATCTTCTGCATCACAATTGTCTTACCATGAGAATCCTGTTCCTGCTTGTCTCTTCCATCATAGTTTGTGTCCTCGGATCGAAATATCGCAGAAATCGCAGAGAAAACCAGACAAAGGAAGGGAATTATTATACCCCTTACGACTATTCTCCTTCCTCTGTCCCCGCACAGCCTCCTCCCCCATACAGAGTATGAGTGCAGATTCCGTCGCTCAACTCGCCATCTACTCGGTTCTCGTATGTCCAGTGTTGTATCTGACACTGTGTCATCATCGATGGGGGTTGTTAGGCTGGGGCTATCTGCTGGCGTTTTGTATATTGCGGATCACCGGCTGTGCCCTCTCCATTCACAATAGCGGCTCCGGGGCAAGGATAATTTCAAGCGTTGGAATCTCGCCCATGCTGCTTGCTCTAGATGGGATACTACATGAAGCGTGCGTCATCATCTTAGGAGAACAGCATGACATTACTGACTTGCCTGAGCAGAAGGGTGTACCGCAATCGGAACTTGAACAAACGTTTAGAATACGCATTCATGGCCTTCGTCCATGTGATCGTTGCGACCGGAGTTGCCATGGTTGGCACAGGAGCCGGCGGCCTGGCGGAAAAAAACGCAAAAGCGAGCAATCAGACGAATCTTGACGTTGGAATGGCGTTGCTCGAGGCATGTTGGGCAATATTGACCATCTGGGCATTGTGGACATTGAAGGACTGCAGCGAGAAGACCATTCCAGGGGTGATGGAAGGCAAACTGGTAGACTTTACCCTAACATGAGAGAATTCTGCAAGTCAGTGTGCCGTCACCAGTGCTAATGCCTTAAATACTAGCTCCTCCACGGCGTGCTCCTAGCGATGGTGTTTGTCGGTATCCGGGTTTTGTACGGACTGATCGCGGAGTCAACCCAGAAACGAAACCTGAATCCGGTGACTGGCTCCTTAGCCATTCGTACTGTCCTTGAGCTTCTACCTGAGCTCATTACAACTTTGATCTTGGTGTTTGTTGGCTTTCGTACACGATATATCGGTGGCTATAATCGCCGAATGGTGGAGACAGGCGAGACATAAACGGAAGCACACTGGATTGGGTTGGGGGAAGAGAGACGAGAAGAGGTCGAGTGACATGTTCAGTGATGTAGGATGTGGCCTCTCTAAGTGAAAGGAAGGCTCTTCTTTGCTTTTATTTATGCTTATTGGGTTGATTTTGTTTTAGTGTTGCTCGGCACGAATGCTGAGAGATCGCTTTCAACCAAGTGTTGGATTGATCATACCCATCCATGACACTGAGGAGAATAGTCTTTAATAATTTGGCTTGTATTCTTCTGGAACCCGTAGAAATAAAAGGTGTCAGATGCAAAGGGAGGAAATAGGAGTCATCTATCAAGAGTACCTAATGATGTAACAAGGAAGAGCCCAATCAGGGAAATACTACTGCCTGTAAGCCACGGTGGGGTTTGACGCCGAATGTAAATTCGCGCCGCTTTTCAAATAAGCGATAAATAAGAGGAAAACAGTGGTGGTGCCGAATAAGAGTAATGACTGACAGAATAACAACTGACTTAACTATGGTCAATAACCTACGCCTGGGTCAGATTCATTCATTTGATGCCGAAATCGTCTGCATAATCCCTAACCATGGAACTACAAACACATGGAGAGCAGACTGATTTAATATTCAACCCATACAGCTGCTGCCTCAGGTCTAGACCAGCCGTGGAGTGAATACGGGTTGATCCACCACCTATCCAACTCACCCTCCTATGCATGCTTGTTGGATTGTGGATAGCGTTGCAGGAGCTGCAGAAGTCATGGGATCTGAAAAACGGGGTATAGACCTGCTTTTCCGATGTCTAGACGATAGTACTGCTCGGATATTACGGCTTTCGGATGCTCCTGTCGTACAGATGCAAACTGATACAGGTGAAAGAAGTCATGCGGCAGAGCATATTCCCGACGCTAATGCCCCAAAGACGCTAGCGACTCAGGGAGATGTTTTGGGGAAGAGGACCGATTCATCACAACGAGCATCTCCCCTGCCAACAGACATCACAGCGGCAAATGAATGACACGGTCTTTTTAACTCCACGGATGACTACACGGATGTTGTGGAGACATCACCGTCACAAGCGGATTCGGTCCATCTGCAGAAATTTGGAGTTTCTGTATCGTTTTCTCTGATGATAAACTAGTCGCACGTCAAAGTAGGGTAGAATGCTGTTTTTTGATAGTTCGTAAAGCAACTCAAGCTGGGCGCAATGGAAACGTTCTTCAAAGGTGAATTCCGTGGTACAGCCAAGCCAGAGATGCCTGGAAGACCAAAGACAAGTGCATGTTGACCTGCTGCTATACTGTATTTTTCTGTGACGGAAGGTTTAATCTTAGATAATAGGATGTAACACCAAGCTTAAGGACTGCAGAAGATGCCGTGAAGAACAAGTGAGTTAGGCCATGCGGGGTAAAAGGACCAGCACAGCAGATGATGATTTAAAGATAGTGATGTTGTACATCAGTAAGACATGATAGGTCAATGGCTTGTCAACAGTGCTCGTATTCTGGGCAGCATGATTAGGTGGATCCAAGCCATATCTACATCAAGCTACCGCATGCCGCCTGTGATATTGATCTACTCGTACTTTGTGGAATAAACTACTTCTGGAAAAGAGACCAGAATCCACGCAATCAATTTTCTTAGCAATTACCGCTATTCCAGTGCAACATCATATGCCAACTGTACACCTTCTGCAGAATAGCAGTCACTATTACTAAGCCCGGGATTCCCGAAGCTCGGGAAAGATACCAGGTGATTGCTAATAGAAATCCCCACTGCGGATTCCCGAAGTCGGATTATTCCCGAGACGGCCGCGTATCCCCGCTACCGAGTCAAGTTTTCCCACAGAGATAAGGGGATATATTTCAGGGGATCCAGGCAAGATGACTCACTTGGTTCCTCTTACTTTTCTGGCATTCTTGCATTAATTCCAGTTCTTGATCCCTATTATCATATAAAGTCCCGCATCTTTCAGCAAAATGCCGGCGTCGGATATCAGTGACACGGACCTCCCTCCTCGATACAATTTTATCGATGACTACAGCGAGGGAGCTCATCCGCAGATTCTAGAATCTCTGTTACTGACAAACACCGCACAACAATCGTCCTACGGGACAGACGAGTTCAGCAATGAAGCCCGACGGCTGATCCGGGAGAAGCTCAACACCAGCGAGGATGAAGTTGCCATTCATTTTGTCCCCAGCGGCACATCGGCCAATTTAATCTCGATTGCCAGCTGTTTACGGCCCTACGAAGCCGTCATGGCTGTGGAATCGGGGCATATTGTCACCAAGGAAGCTGGTGCGATCGAAGCTACAGGGCACAAGATGATCCTAGTCCCCGGAGTAAACGGGAAAATGACCCCGGAGAACCTGGAGCGCGTATTCCAGCAGAATCAATTCTTTCCGCACATGGCCAAGCCGCGGCTAGTGTACATCTCCAACGCGACGGAGCTGGGAACGATCTACACAAAGGCCGAACTGTCAGCCCTCTCGGCAGTTTGCAAACGCCTTAGATTGCTCATCCTGGTTGACGGTGCACGATTGGGAGTAGCACTGAGCGCAAAAAACAATGACCTGACCTTGCGTGATATGGTCGACCTCACCGATATCTTCTGGATTGGCGGGACCAAGATGGGAGCACTGCTGGGTGAGGCGATTGTCGTCAAGCAGCATCTGGCCGAGGGCTTTGTCTTCCATCTCAAACAGCACGGGGCTCTGCTGGCCAAGTCCCGTGTGATGGGCATTCAGTTTGTCGAGCTCTTCCGGACACATCTGTTTTTCGATCTGGCGACGCATGCGAACAACATGGCAGCGAAGATCTCGGCCAACTTTGAGAAGCTGGGGTATACCCTCGCAGCGCAGACGGAGACCAATCAAGTATTTCCTATTCTACCAGAGCGCGTGGTTCGCAGACTGCAGGATCGGTTTGGGTTCTATATATGGGAGAAGCGCGACGATGGACGTGCGGTGGTCCGCATTGTGACCTCGTGGGCGACGGATCCCCTTCAGGTGGATAAGTTTAATAGCTGGGTACAGCAATGGACCGAGCTGGATGCATGACGGATATGATCAACAGCATTTGTGATGAGTTAGCGAGATAGACAGCCTTCCTAGCATTAATCTTAATGACCATTCTTATTCTCCGAGGTGCGGGGTATTAAAGAGAGAGCGGCATATATATTGAGACTACCCCGTTGTCGAACAACGCAACCATAGGAAATATTCTCTTAGCTGTTTCTATCCGCCGGTCACCATAGCAGGCTAGAATGGCGCTAGAATGGATCTAGAACAAGTTTTACAAAAAGAAGTTTCCCTTGCCAATGCGCTTTACCCGATTTGGAAGGTCTTTGGTTATCTCCGCACCAAATGAAATCATCACCTACCAGAACCATTCCCGACCACACAACCACCAGTCCATGGTTGCATTTGAACATTATCATCATCTCAATTGAGGGAGTGAAAAAAATGTCAGCTCAATGAGTTGATCTTGTCAATACGGCCCTTGAGAATGCGACTTTCAGTGTCCTGCGATGGCTGCCGGTATGTCTCTTGTTGCTCTTGTAGTCCGTATGGTTATCCTCGGAAATCGGGAATAACCTCGAAATGAGCCAATCCAGTATGGCCTGGACCTTGGCACCTGGATTGATTCGCTGATCATCCTTGTTGTTCTGTATAGTCAAGCAAAAGTCAAATGTATTCATGATGGCCAACCACCCTGTCGTCGCTGTCAACGGGCGAAACTGACCGGCTGTCTGTTGACGGACACATATTCATCCCCGTCAAGAAGATCAAAAAGAAACACATTGAAATCACAGAGACAGCGAGGGGTGATCTCTGAACCGACAACAGCTCTCAATAGTCCACCATTACCTCCTGAACCACAACCCGACCATCCATCGCCATGGTGCGCTAAGAATCCCGTGGAGGCCTTGCCCTCAGCCACCGTCATTGCGGCATGCGAGACCTACCGCAAGAAATTTCCCGTCGCCAATTTCCTCCACTATCCGTCCCTAATCGCAGAATTATCGTCAAATCCTGCCTCTGTTGATCCAGTTTTTGTTGCAGCTCTTCTGTCATTATGTGTCAGATTCATGCCCGATCACTGTCTGGAAGCAGCCGAAACCTATGCCGAATATGCTCGTAAACAGCTCGCGCATCGCGCGTTCGAGGCTCCATCGCTCTATCTTGCGCAATCTCTAGTGATGATCACATTTTACGAATGGGGGTCCGGTCGCCCCTACAAGGCCTGGATGTACAGTGGTATGTCCACGTCTCAAGCTCCCTATACGAGGCTAATGATGTCAGGAATGGCAACGTACATGATCCAATCCCTCCTCAAGACGGCCGACGATAGCATGGAGCATAATCCGCAGGACTTCCAGGCTAGCCAAACTCAGTACGAGCAGCTAGTTCGCACGTACTGGTGCTGTTTCGCGCAAGACTGCGAGCTCAGTTCAGGAGCGCGCCAGCATTTCGCCCTTTCTTTTCGACAGATATCAGTTCCGTTGCCGACCAGCGACCGGGACTTCAACTTCGGTCGGCTTTCATCGCATCGCTTGATGCCGTCCGATATGAGCAAGCATTCACCGTTGTCGAGGAATCTAACCATCGACTATGGACTGACGATTGTCACCCGAGGCTTCGATATCTTCGTGCGGATCCTGCGGTTCGCGAACGAGAGTCGGCGTGGTCGGACATTGACCTTCCCTCAGGATCCTTCATCGCCACGACTAGTCTGGCAGCGCTTGAAGGAGGAGCTGGACGAGTGGAGATTTCTGCAGGACGTGACGGTGCGATACCCGGCCACCAGTGCGCAGGCGCATGTTGCCTTGGGATACGGCGAGCTGTTCGCATACATCAATCTCGTCTATTTCATGAGGTATTTCCCTAGCCTTCTGCCCCACTTGCCCGGCTTCAATAACAGTTTAGTATCCTCTTCCTCTTCCGGGATCAGTTCTTGTCCAGTCTCAAGCCTCACTCCGACTTCCTGCACGATCTGCAAGGCATGAATAATGTGGATGAGTCTCAGGCTATCCGGCAACTCTTCGAAGCAGCGCAAAATATCGGCGGCATCCTTTCCGCCCTCGAAGTCTCCGGAGTACCGGTGATCACACCATACTCTGGCTTCAGCATTTTTGTTGCGGCCCATATCAACATGTACGGGACTGTGTGCCCGCAGCGATATCCTGGGGGGATCGAGCGAGCGGAGGAGGAGAAAAAAGCTAATTTGTCATATCTCGAGCGACTGAGCAAATACTGGCCAGTCGGACAGAGTTGGGTGAGCAACCACCTTTCTGCGTTGTATCTCGTTGAGGGCAGATTGCTGATAGACACAGTGGCGAACGGTGCAGGAAGCCAACCGATTCTACGAGATAGCCAGAAATAATCAGATGCACGTTCGGGACGGGGCGGGTCATCTCACAATCGCGGGAACTTTGGACGAATATGGTGACATTCGAAGTGTACGACCGCGTCAGGAAGAGTCCCAACCTATTTTGGAGCAGGAGAATATGCCAACAACGACTAGAAATCGGAATAATTCTCAAACGTTAGGGAATGATAGTCGTCATCCTGGGACAGGGGGAATGGATGCAGTGCCCTTGAGTGAACCTCATGAGCTAGAGGCGGAAATGCTCCAGTGGCCATTCATTGATGAATCGTGGTCCTTGGGCTTTGATACTGGGGTGGACACTGCGTGGCCGTCTTTGGGGGTTGGTTCATAGAAGCATTGCAGGCTTGATTGAGAATGGAATAACTACTCAACTAGGTCGCGGCAGATGAGATGCGTAATCAACTGGAATAGATATCATTATTAATAATCATATTGTAGGGAGTATCTATCACTAGGATGAAGCATCGATTGAATTCAAAATGGCGGCAATTTTGAGGAGATCATCGAAGGTGACCAGTTGGCTGGTTTTTATTCCTGTCCGTAAAGGGAAGCCAAGACCTGTGCAGTCCCCAAGGTACTCATTCCTCGTCTGGTTAAATATACTCGACTCGCTCCTCTTCCTTTTCTCTTCGACAACGACGTCTACCGGCTCCGTAACTAGGCAGCTGAACTGAGGCGGTTTTGCATCTGCTTTCTTACATGAAGTGTTGACTCTACGCTGTTCAAGTCGTTCTTGTCACCTCGTGATGTGATCCGCGTCTTGGGATTGGTCCGGCACTCCAAATGACAAATTTTTTTACAACAGCAACAATATCAACATCATGGCTGGCTTTGATGAACTGCTTGGCTGGGGATATCGTTCACTCTGCTACTGACCACACTAACATTCAAGATTGAAGCCGTACACACTTCACATGTCTGAGATTGACCTTCCTGGCCCCCAGAGGCACCAACATGGTCAACTGATTTTGGCCCGACGGGTTCCGACCCGGGCTCCGACCTGCATCCAGACTGGCTATAACCAATTGTCATGCTCGTTCGGAATGAGTCACTCCTGTGCGTCGCTTCCTGGGCCACTATGACTAATCCCAGCCAATAGACGAGGGAATTCTCCACTTTTCGGCGATTTGGCCTGCGTTGGATTCAAGTGTCGACCGTATGGACTGCAGACTATGCACTGCGTCTGGCATGGATATGGCTCTGAGGCATTTCTGCTGCTTGATCCTTGTGCGCTCCTATGACATCGCTGGCGAGCTGAGACCTCAGCCGAGGTCGAGGTCCGACCCTGCCAGGTCGCCGTGCTGCGCTGTGTCACGTCGGTTTTTTTTTTTTCTACACAGGAAAATTTTTGGGCTGTGTCTAAGCGACTCGCGTCTTTTCCAAGCCATTCCGCAGCTTGAGGAAGCCTGACGCCCAAAATTGCTTTGTCTCCAGATTTTCCCTCTGTACATATTTTGTCACAATCAATATCATCTGGTTCCATCATGTTTTCCCATCTCAAACGCGAACACCGTCTGATTCTTGTAATCAGCATTTCTGCGTCTTTCTTCCTCGCAGAAATTGCAGGTAAAGTCTGCTTTCTGCATCTCCAGGGGCCGCCTGGTTGACGAAATATTTCAGTTGGATTTTATACCCGCTCTTTGGCCCTAGTTGCAGACGCATTCCACTACGTTGGTAGCACACGTTGATGATGCGAAAGGGATACTGATATACCTGCAGCTGAATGATCTTGTTGGCTTCATTGTGGCGCTAGTAGCACTCAAGGTAGCGAAGCTCCTCCCTGTGTGAGAGTAAAACTAAAGAGTCAGATCTCCCAACGCAGCAAATATCCTAAAGAGCTGTCTTTCGGCTGGCAGCGCGCACAATTATTGGGTGCCTTTTTCAATGGTGTTTTTCTCCTGTCGCTAGGAATCAGCATTTTTCTTCAATCTATCGATCGCTTTGTGTCGTTAGAGCGTATGGTATTCGGCCCTGGTGGATGAGAATGTACTGACACATACAGGGATTGAAAACCCCAAGCTTGTGCTGATCATTGGCTGCGTCGGATTGGCTTTGAACTTGATCAGTGGATTGTTCCTGCATGGTTCGCCCCCGTCTAGAAGAGCATTGAGTACCGGACTAAGTTCATTAGAACACGACCATGGTGAAAGCATTACACCCGATTCATCCGATGACGACTTGGAGCTTTCAACGTCCTTGTCTAGGCTCGAACCCAGGAGTTCCTTTTCCGGTCGAGTACGTCGCTGTGTGCCCGTAACCTTTCCCAGCTAAGTAGCGTTCATCAGGTCCTGCGTCCTCACGTCGAGCACCGCCACAATGTCAAGTCACAAGCGAAGAAGGGCCATGATCTCGGAATGATGGGTGTCCTTATCCATGTTCTAGGTGATGCAGCGAACAATGTCGGGGTAATTATTGCTGCGTTGGTGATCTGGAAGGCCAAATATGAGGGAAGATACTATGCCGATCCTGCTGTGAGCATGGCGATTGCGATCGTGATCCTCCTCTCGTCGCTTCCTCTAGGTATATAGGCACCGGCAGACTCTACAGGCTCCTACTGACTCATTATAGTCAGGAAAAGCGGAACCATTTTGCTGCAGAGCGTTCCGCTAGGCGTCGACCCGGACGATGTCAAGCATGATCTTGAAGCCGTGAGTGTTGATTCGGGGTATTTCTGCACAAAATTGACTCGGTTCTAGATTCCCGGTGTCGAGTCCGTCCATGAACTCCATATCTGGCGACTCAACCAGGAAAAAACTCTTGCATCGGTGCATCTGGCAGTCTCCGATGAACTCATCGCCGACTTTATGGAAAAGGCCAAGATTATCAACGAGTGCTTCCATGCGTACGGGATCCATTCCACGACCTTGCAGCCGGAGCATGTCCGTCCAATTCCCAGCAGCAATCGATCAATCCAGGGCCAGGAAAACGCAGAGTTGACTGTCGAGGGAGGAGTCAAGAAGCGCCATGCTGTCGACCCCAACTCTGGATGTTCGTCGGAAACCCTTCAGACATGTTCGATCAATTGTGGGAGTGCCTGTGAAGGGTACACATGCTGCAGTCGGGATAAAACGCTCTGATTCTGACTTCAATTGAAATATGTCCAGGGGCATGGTTTATATGGTTGTTTACATGATATCATGAGACTATGGACTCGGGATGCTTGTCGTGAGGTCATCTCCGCGCTATCCGTACCGCATGGATAGTGGTAGATGGAAAACGTACCATCTCCTACCTTTAATATGCGTCTGATCTTGTGTCTACTATACTACTTATCCTTATTGCGAATCGTTACTCATTACAATATTAGAATCGCCTGTCCGAGATGTAAGCCTGTGACGGACAGTATTTGCTGGAAACGACGAAAGGCGGCCAAACACGCTGATTCCTCATATGCAATAACACAAGACATAGCTGCATGATCTATTGAAGTAAGCGTAGGAATATGCATTGTCACAATTGATCTGCTCAAGAGTGACTATAGTTGCTGGGAAATGCGAGCATGACTGTTACACACTATGACTCTAGCTAATAACTCCGAGACGAAAAAGAGTAGCTCCACGGCAAGAGACGACGGATCACAGCCGAAAACGATGTTTGAAACCTCATCAATGACATCAGAAACCAGCACGTTCAATCATTGGCCAGCTACGATTGTCATAATGGCTGTCTAATCTCGTATACAGGCAGCGGGATGATCGACACAGCCCCGTTGCATAGCTCGTATCTTATTTTCATTTCCCTTTTGGGCATGGAGTGTCGGGCGCACCAGAAAGCTCGTATTTCTCGTGTATATAAGGAGAGGTGCGAGTATGTCCAGGCCACCATCTGAATCACTTTGTAACCTACTCCTCTCTATCATGCCCGTCGCTATGAAAAGTATTTTGCTGGGCATTGTCTTCGCTACAGCAGCGATTGCTGCCCCCGATTCACACCGCTGCCGATGTCAACCCCATCAACCATGCTGGCCATCACCACACGAGTGGAATGCCCTCAACCGCTCGATTGACGGCAATCTGGTCGCAGTGCAGCCTGTTGCTGCGCCTTGTCACAATAACCCCAACAGCACCGCCTGCCAGAAAGTCACGGCGCAATGGTCAAACTCCGTCTGGCGCGCCGCTCAGCCCGGTGCCGTGCAATGGGAGAACTGGGGTGCCTGGCCGGAGCACAATGAGAGCTGTTATATCGAGACTGCGCCATATATGCCGTGCAAGCAGGGGCGTATCTCGCTCTACTCCGCCGTGGTCCAGAACACGCGACACATCCAGGAGGCTGTCCGGTTCGCAAAGCGGCATAACATCCGTCTTGCGATCAAGAACTCCGGTCACGACTTTCTTGGACGCTCGGCGGCTCCGAACTCACTTCAGATATTGACCAACCGAATGAAGGGACTACAGCTAGTCGATGATTTTGTTCCAAAGGGGGCGCCGAAACATAAAGGCGAGGGTCCGGCTGTAACGCTGGATGCTGGGATTAGTCTGCAGGAGATGTATGCTGCTCTCGGCAAGCGGAACAGAACGGTAGTGGGAGGCTCCGCTCACACTGTTGGGCCAACCGGAGGATATATCCAAGGCGGCGGTCATTCGTTCTTGAGCCCATGGAAGGGGATGGCGTCGGATAATGCCCTGGAGTTCAGTGTCGTCACGGCTGCGGTAAGTTGGAACCTGCTTCCCAGGGACTATGCATATAAATGACACGCCACAGGGAGATCTAGTCACTGCCAATGCCTACCAGAATTCGGACCTGTTCTGGGCTCTTCGAGGAGGTGGAGGAGGCACATTTGGCATCGTCACGCAAGTCACCGTTCGTACATTCGAGGAGATTCCTCTCGTCATTACCTCCATGAACATCACCACGGCCGCCGGAGATCCCGCGTTTTGGAACGCCGTGGCGGACTTTCATGCTGCGCTACCGGCCGTGACGGACGCACGAGGAGGCGGGTACTACTGGGCGATTCCCAATCTGCCGTGGGAGAAGAATCAGACCATCTCCGTATTGAGTTTTACGCATTTCCATGCCAACACCAGCAACACCGCCGAGATTGACCAGGTCTATCAGCCACTGTTGAAGAAGCTCAACGCGACTGCGGGCGTGTATACTCAGTATAGATCCTTCCCCATGCCCAGTTTCCACGAGTCCATAACGAAGGTCTTGCTTGTCGGCGATTCGGACGGGACAGGATCAATCTCCTTACTCTTCTCCAGGCTGTTCTCGAGAGACCTCCTCACCTCCAAGTACGGACCCCCCAGGCTCGCTTCTGCCATGAGAAATTTCCGCTATGCACCTGGGGAAGCCGTCACCGGCATGGTGGTGGGAGGCGGCACCGTGGCAGAGAATGCAGGCAAAGTGGACAGTGCACTCAACCCGGCTTGGAGAAAGGCGGTTGTGCATATCGTGTACACCCGCAGTTGGAGTGCCAAAGCCACTCTGGCAGAGCAACAGGCCGTCATCAAGAATGTGACGGATGTTGAGCTGCCATTGCTGCAAGGAGTCGAGGGTGCGGACAAGATGGGCGCGTATGTGAACGAGGCCTTTGCCTACGAACCCAATTTCCAAGAGTCCTTCTGGGGCAGTAATTACCCTCGTTTGTACAGCATCAAGCAGAAATGGGATCCGGCTGGTCTTTTCATCGCGCGCAGGATGGTCGGCAGCGAGGATTGGGATGATCAGGGGCTCTGTCGGATTGCGAAGTGACCACTTCTGTTTTCAGAAGATCCACCAGTTGCGTTTGTCCATCGATCTTTTCGTTTGATTGTACAAATCTTTCAAGTAGTACATAATGGAAGTCTACTTCAACAGCAGGGTTTGTGTCCTCTGGTACTCCGTAGTGACTAGCGCCATTAGCTATTAGGGAGCTCTTTCTTCGTCGAAATTGATATACTGGATCCGGCAGCTTGTTGTTTCCCTAATTTTTAGACACTTCTGGTGGAATGGTGGCATTCCATTCTATTTGTTAGTTGGCATGGCTACCAGTCACTTAGCTCCTGGATTCTGAAAAGCTGTGCTGTGGTGTAGTATCTCTAGTACTGCAAAATCGACAGTGCCGACTGGCATCTCAGCGTTCTATACCAATGATCCACATCGGCATTGGATGTCGTCTGCCAAGTGTTCAGTAGGATGCAGCAATGCCACTACGCCAAGCTCGGCGGATTGATGATTGGCGACGATGATTTAAACATTGCGCCACCAACCCGCGATTTGCTGCCAGCACAAATGATGCTTCGATATTTCCCGATGAGGCCAATGATGGGGCGCATGGGTTCGGGTAGGCTGCCCTTGAAATGCGGGGTCAATGTCTGTGCTTCGTGAAGAGTTAGCGGATGGGGACGAGCTTTTGAATTTCAATATTATGTCCAGATAGTAGTGGATAGAGGTAGTGATCATGGCAACGACATGCCGCAATGGTGTGATTTATCCGGAATATATTGCCATCACTCTGACAATCGTCAAGGGAAAAAATCAATACAGATTCCACAAGAACAAGGATCGACTGGGCCAGAATCATCGCATCAGGCCACGTCAAATGACCTGCAGACCAAGACCACCTCGAGCATCCCACAGCCTCCCTGCGGACGATATCATTGGTCTTTCTTTCGTATTTACTTTGATCCTGTTCTCATGATTCCAGATTGTTGCCATATAAAGGAGCTCAAAGAGCCTGATCTACTTGGAGCGCGAGGCATTGCACTCCCTGATTCATTATACTACACCATACTATACAATATAGTCATCTGCCGTCCATCACATACAGACATTCCGCTCATGATGACGATTCCATATCCCGTCCTGACCCCAGACTGCTATGGGATGACCATCCACAGACAATCCTGGCAGGACAGAAACCCCCGACACCTGGACCGCGCTCATGTGGAGGCCGTGTTTCGCGAGATGAAGGCGCACAAGCAGCAGCCAGTTCTGGATGTCAGGACAGAGATGCCAAACCATACGAGTTGGAGGGACAAACTCTCGCGAAAGTATGTCTTCCTCGTCCTGGCCATTGGCGCGGACTAATTTGAGTAGATGCAAGAAGTTCGGCCGAGGATGACCGACTTTATCTCCATATGAGGGTTTCATAATGAGCGAGGCGTTGGATAGTTTGATGATACGAGACGAGTACCGGATTAATCATAATGTATATACTATTTCACTTTTGATGGATATAATTCATCGTTAACTAGTTTTACTACCTGAGACAGTTATATCCTGCTATTCTGCCCCATCACAACCTCAATTTCATGATGTACATAATACTACCCGACCAGTGCGGTTGAGACAAATCTAATTAGAGCATTGCAGTCCGTCTCAAATCTCCCAGCTGATACCAGCTTCTGTGAAAAAGCTGGGATTTTCTGCTTGGACCTCAGTTGCGAAATCCACATCCCTGATTCGACAATGCCAATCTACATCATCAGCCTCAGGCATGCGCCTCAGAACTAATCGACATGATTGACAAGTCCTGTTCTCAACGTGCGCTGTATACACGCGATGCCGATCTTCGGGAATCCGCTGCTCCAGCGGCAGATGAGCCACCGCTTCTTCATCGACCTGCACGATGATCCGCGCGAGGATCGCATATTGCTGCATGCTCCACAGCCCTTCCTTCTGAGGGCAGCGGTACAGCAGGCTGATTGCCTTTCGCCGGAGTACCGGATTGCGACACTTGCTAGCCGTGTAGCACAGCGAAGAGATGAGTCCGGTCTCCAAGGAAAAGACAGTCAGCAGAGAGTCCCTGTCCAGTGATGCATTGAGCTCGATCAGCTCCTCGGCGTACGCAACGATAGCCCTGAAGTCGTCGTCGAGCTGGTCGAATATGAGCTCGTCTCTGGACAGGGCGACGGCCACTATAACTTGGTTGGTGCGATGATGGATGCGCAGCACCAAGGGTCCGCGAGGATCGGTCTTCTTGAGACGTCTGCCAGATCGCTTCATCAGACTATCGAATGCGCTCAGCCAAGCGGCGAAATCTTGGAGGAGCGCCTGTTGCCGACAAACCTGCCAGGGCGACCCTCTCGTCTTCCGGTCGGTGCCCACGGTCTCCACGAAGCTGATCGCGCGGTTGATCAGGACGTCGAGTGAATGTCTGGCTGCTGAGATATCCGACCAGGTCTCTGATTTTCCCACCGAATCTGCTGGATCCAGTTGGCTGAGATTGAGGGAAATCATCCTCCTTCCATGCTTGGAGAGCTGGGTATTCCAACGGACGACGGTGTACGTTAGTTCTCGAGTAATCCCTTCCGACTGCAGTTTTCCGTTTGGATCGTTCTCCCATCGCTGAACAATCTTCAGGCCAGCTTCGATATGGTCCAGAGCTTTGCCGACCTGTCCACTGAGAATCTCCAGGCAGACAAATAAACAGCAGGCAATCAGGGTCAGATGCGGCACCTGGTTTGCGGACGACAGTTGTGTCACCAAATGTCGGATCGCCGAGTTGTACTGCTGAATAATAAACTGTTCATTTTGGGGGGCGATCTTCCGCCCGGGATCACATCTGTCTTTCGAGAGAACTATATGTAGATGTTGATGGAGAGCCCCCAGAGCGATGACTGCGTGCCGGATGGCGGCCTCAGAGTGACTCAATTGGGGCAAGACATATCCCCAGAGATCTGAATCAAAGAAGCCAGAAAGTGCGCGCGATGTCCGGGTGCAGAAGAACTCTATATACTGTCGTTCTTCTCGCGTTCCCGGGCGCAAGACGAGGCGCTGGTCGGCGCTGAGTTTAGTCCAGGCCTCGGGGACAGGATCGATTACAGTTCTCTGCTGCGCCTGTGGATTGGTCTGTTTGGGATCGTATCCATCACATTTGCGTCCTGTTTTGATGCACTGTAGACATTCTGGCTGTTGCTCGTCGCATTTGACATGACGGATTCTGGGAGAATTAGTACGAGCCAACTGGAGGCGTAGAATTGACGGACTTGCAGGTGATGCAACCTCTTCTCGATTTGGTATGCTTGGCTCTAGTATGCTTCATGTTCTTTACAGTATATTCAGCAGCTGGAAGGAGCCTCACAGATGTGATGATCACCGACGGCAGATTTGAAGCGATCCAGAGTGGCCGAGTCTAGACGCTCCACAGCCACACTACTTCTCTTAGTGCTTACTTCATCAGCCGGGGCCAACCATTACCATTACCTACACAGCACAAGAAATTGAGAGACACAAATCGAAACTCCATCATGGACATCAATCTCCCGGAAAACCTTACTCCCGGTTGGTGCCCAATCGTGTCAATTATCCGTTGTCATGGATGCATCAACCTGCTAACTTACAAAGTCGGCCGCCTGACTCATCTCCTCCACAGTAACTATAATATCCACCAGCCACAGTTGAAACGGATCATACCATATCAAAGAATCCTCCAATATCCTGCGGGCTGCAGATTCGAGTCAGGTTTCCTGCTGGGGCGTCTTCCATAGTCCGCCATGATCGCGAGGACTATCTTCGATACTCGCTATCTGTCAAGTTGTAACAACACCACAGTCATGTAGATCTTGCAACGAGTTGAGCCAGAACCTGAAACGCTGTAAGAATTTGCTCCCGGCCATCGCTCCAAACGCTTTCATCCTCCATCAGCCCCAGATCCTCTCCCCTGGCTGCTCGGCCCGTAAACTCCTTTGTGGGAAACACCAGAGCAACAAGAGGCTCGACAGGCTGCATACGAAGGCCCTGCAGAACCTGATGCAGCTGCTGGGCGGCCTTCCCACCGCCATGTCCGCCGTAGCTGACAATCATGCCGGGCTTTCCCGTCCATTCATGGAAGAGATAGTCGATGGCGTTCTTGATGCTGGCCGGATAACCCCAGTTATACTGTGGTGTGACGAAGATGAATCCAGCGTGCGAGACAATCTCCGCGGACCATTTCCTGGTCAGCTCGTGCGTGTATCCATCCGATGAGGTGATGAGCGATGGGATGCCCGGTTCATTGTACATTGGGAGATTCCAAGTAGCTAGGTCGATAGGGCGCAGATTGGCGGTCGGGTATGCTTTCTGGATGGTATCCAGGACGAAATTGGTGATTTGCAGTCCAGCACGGGGGACCCGTTGGCTGCAGACGATAATCCCGATGGTTGGAGTCAACATTCTGGCGTTTTGTGGTGATCGCCTGCTTGATCTGATCTTTGACGCGGCCCAAGGCAGGGCATTCGGCTGCCCTTTAAGTTACCTGCATTTTCACCCTTTATCGCAGTGAGGAACTGCTTGTATTTTTATATACTACTTTATTATCGGATATAAGCAGCAGAAATCGGGGATAACGGCAAGTCGGAAGATGCGATCCGCCCGGTCCGTTCTTTATGTCTCTTTCAGGCAACCATCACGTCCGGTAATTGTACTTTGTCTTGGATGTGCTGACTACGAGGCCAATATTTGCCTTATGACAAGCGCATTACCTGATCGACGAAGGAGATGATCAATGGCGTTGTCGTCAGGAAGCACTTGGAGTGATTATGTAAGAGGTGGCGATACAGTATGCATAGGTTGATCTGATTCTATAACGATCCAGGACCACTATCCAACAGCCTATGCAGTGATCTCCGTTGAAGGAATGACAGTAGCGAACGCATCAGCAAGTTCACTCAGAGCCACCGAAACAAGGGTCTCAGCCTTGGCCCCAGGAATATCTCGGTCACCCACGGCATCACTGGCGATGATCACATCATAACCGCGCTCACTGCCCGCCCGCGCCGTGGTCGACACACAGACATGCGCCATATATCCCACCAGGACAATCTTCTTTCCAGCATCCCCCAGACCCTTCAGGTAATCCTCGAGATCCGTCTGGGCAAAGGCACTCGGGAAATGCTTGCAGATGACCTTCTCGCTAGCGCGCGGGGTCAACTCGTCGAATTCCCTGGCGAGGTCGGTGTCGGGGGTGAAGACGGGGGCGCCCTGGGGCGTCTCATGGACAATATGGACGATGTTCTTGCCGTCGCCACTGGCACGGTACTTCTCTAGGAGGTTTGCGATCGCCGTGCGTGTCAGGGAGACGTTTTCAGTCTTGAGCTTGCCGGTGGCGTATTCGTTCTGGGCGTCGATGATGATTAGGGTCGAATCTTTGGTAGAGGCGGTCGATGGAGGGACCCCGATAATTTGACGGAACGACTGTGCGGAAGACATATCCGATAGTGAAATTGTAGGTGAACGGGGGTTGCTAATGTATATGTGGTGATTTGTTTGCGAGGGGAACAGTAGTGCGGGGAAGAGAGCTCTGATATTTATCTATGGATTTGAAGAACCCCGCCTTAAGTCGGGCAACCGGAATCTCCAATCCGACAAATCTTTTCGTGGATTTTTGTCACTGAGCAGGTAATACCTTAATAATGATAGTCATGGCTCAATTGACAGTTGCTATAGCTTCCTCATCGGGTTACATTATTCGCCAAGCATTCTCCGAATCCATACTGTCGATTGTGATTGGCAGATTGGAAACTAGTTAGACTACCATTACCATCCAATCGTCCAGACTATAACGCCCATACCTGATCCCGGCAGGGAAAGGGCAGGCGCTATTGTTCACCGAGTAGTAGCGTTTCTGAATTCAACATTCGTCTCGATCTGCGTTGTAGTCCAAATCTTCCCGTGCGGCACCACAATCCGCTCATCGCTTGTGTTGCTGCCGTACCCTGTCCCAAGCTGTGTCGGCATATCCTCGGCATCCTTGGTCCTCAATGAGTTCATTGTCGCGCTGTCTTTGAACCGTGAGAATCCCCATTGTGTTTTTTTGGATCCTGTCATTTCGGAGGATGCGTATTTGCGCCCGGAGGAATACTCGCCAATGAGTCGGGGCAGGAAGCGGGAGGCAATCGCCTTGAAAGAGGGGATAGACGCGGCCAGGATTCCGACGTTGATCTCGATCACGGACCAATACATGGCGCCGCCGATGGCGTAGGTGAAATCGGCCGAGGTTAGCATGGTGGGAATAAAAGTGATGCGAATGATGGAGGAGATGCAGGCACTAGGGAGTGTGTCAGCGTGCAGAATCCCACCAGCGATCGAGAGACTCACAAAAGCCCCAGGCAGAGGGTGAAGCCAAGGGCAACCTTCTGCTTGAGCGGCATCTGTAGCTTGAGGAGGACATTGATAGGGAGCGTGTAGGTGAGCACATCAGTCAAGATGTTCAAGGCCGCGTTGGAGAGATAGAAGATATTGATCTCGACACAGTGACCCGGCAAGGACGCGTTCCAGGCTTTCGGAATGGGTCGACACTGAAAGGCTGCAACCATGACGAATACCGCAGCCTGGGTGCCGACGATGCCCATCATGATCAGGGACATTCGCGTGAGCGTCTTGTCGCCGATGCGGGTGTAGAACCAGCAGACCGATGTTTTGGTGAAGCCCAGACAGGCCAGGTAGAACATCGAGCTGAGCCATACGACCTGTCATGGTCAGAGTTGCAACGACTATTCGTTCGGATGGCGCATACGAAAGAATAGGAGGACAGGTTGTTCTTATCCACATCAACAAGATGAGAGCCCAGTCCCTTTTTGACAGCTATTGGAAGTCAGTTGCGGACTCTCTCAGACAAATGATGTCGTACTGACAGACGATAGTTACAGCGATAAAAGCCCAGGACAAAAGCTATGTGTGTCAGTAGGGAGGCACATTCGACTGTTTTCCGGTCACTTACGCATCCACACAGGATCAAGTCTTGAAACCAGTCAGCCTTCTTTTCGCCAGCATTTGCAGAGGACGAACTTACAATCATCCACACCTACATGTTCCAGAACAACGACTCGAGCAAACATTCGCAGACAGACAACCACAAAAGTAACGATCGCAAAGGCAATGGAAATGCCCACCACAACTGGCCCTTGAGAGTCAGATGCCATGATGGATGGTCGGAGAATGCAAAAGAGTATCAGGACGACTGAAGAATACGGCTGAGGGGGATGGACTTGTTCCCATTTATCTCTCTTCCTCCTTGATCATCATCTTGAAATCTCGAAACCCTGACCATATCGCTCATTATGGAATAGAAGCGGTGGAGACTGGAGATCAAGTTGATGTGAAATGACGAGGAGGGATTTCTGCGACGGTCGTTCCATCTTGTCGAAGCTCCAGAATCATCGCTTTGGATTATTACTGGCGAATACTGCGCAGACTACAAGGATCTGGGTTGCTTGAATGCCTGAACCTGATTTACCAAGCTTCTTCCCAAAGTAGGAAGACGGCACACCTGAGACACAGCGGGATGACTCCATGTCTCATTTGGTTCTTCTATGCTCGATTGAGATGCCTGTTAGGGGCACTGGGTATGATTCTATTGGGTAGCATCGACAAAACTTACTTGCTATGGGGGACTCACCTGTTCCGTAATTAAGAATGAGACCAAGGCCAAGGTGCAACTGTGCAGTAGTCTATTATTAGGCACTGATGTAGGGTCGATAGTGGATTAGCGTACGGACAGAAGTTGGATTAGGTTCGTTTGCCATTGCCCCAAGGAGAAGAGTTTGATCTGAGACTGGCCCCACAAGACAGGATCAAGATCAGGTTTATCTTCAGAAGTCTTTATAACCTTGAGAGTACGGGTTACAGCCACAAGTCATATGGTAGATGACCGTGTGGCATATATGAACTGAGATACAAAGTACGAGGATAATGCACAAGATCAGCGGCTGTGGCGCAGAGAGAAGGGATACAGGAAAAGCAATGCTCAAAGACAAGTCGAATATATTGGTAGATGTATCATGAATCAGGAATATCTACGGAGAATAGATGCTCCTCGCTTAGAGCTGGCCATCATTGCGTAGACGCATATAGACAGGTATTTGCCGCCAAATCTTTCCTTTCGGATGCTCTCCGCTAATTCTCTGCGTGATTCCAGCAATTATATCACATTTAATCATGCTTTCCGATTGCCGTTGATCGTCACCAATATTGTTTCGTTGTTGATTCTGGATGACGGAGTCGGAATAGTCTGCACTGCAACGCCAACCTAGGCGTGTCCACCATTCACCCTCAAGGCATGAACAATACCAGAGTGGTTGTCTATATGAGAGGAAACAACATCTCTGTTTATCTCGTCAAGTAGGCCAAAAGTCCATGATTCTTACCATGCTGACTGCTCGTCACTCGCCTCGCTAAAGAGACATGAGGTTCCACATCCACTGGTGGCATGAGATCGGCGCTTAACATCAACCTATCACGCAGCACGCTACCCTGCATAACTCGCTCGATAGTAGCGGAGAGGGGCCGAAAGTGCCTATCTGCCAACAGTCGTCTCGCCCATTTCCCCCAAAGAGTTTAGACTGGGGATGTCATGGCGGGACCTGCCGTTCTCTTGTCTCAGGTCTCGACCATCAACACCTGGGTCTGCAGCTTCAGTGACAACAGTTGCGAGTCAAGAGTGTCGATTCCTACTTTATAAGGCGAGGACTCGGTCTGGCTAAATACATAGAGGTCCATCGAAGAGCAGGGATGTTACTGACTGCTCCAATGACTGCCAGCTTCATCCGCCTCCATACATTAGTTGATGTACTATTGTCGCATCGTAGACAAGATCAACCCTGCGTTTGCACCTCTGACTCTCTGCATGAATTACCAACCTGCTGCCACCTCGAACCGAGACTCAAACAGTCCCGCTAGCGCGATCGTATGAGACACTGGCTTTGTATAATTCGTGCTCACTGACTCTATCCAGTATCGGTGCGTGAGAGCTCATCCACCCCCTGTTCGCCCATAATATGGGGCATCCACATAGTCTTTGCGCGATCGCAATCGGGGTAAGCGGCCCTAGAGGGAAAGTTGGTCTCAAAGTTGATCGCAAGGCCTTGGTTTCAGTGTCCTACGGGCGCAGCTCTCCCTTGTCTTGAACCGATCCCTCTCATCGAGACACCACTATGGGCCTTGGGGAAGAGTTACTCGCCAGAGTCACCTTGACCAACGTGGTTCTGGGTCTTGTGGCGTATGCTTTGCTCAAATTTGCCTACCAGATAGTCTATTATCACTTTTTCCACCCGTTGTCCGTCTTCCCCGGGCCCTTCTGGGGAGGAGTGACCAGACTTTGGATTGCATGGCACAATCTGCGCGAGACTGAATTGCCAGCCGTGTATGCTTTGACAAAGGAATATGGTCTGGTACACCATCATATCACAAGGTCCTCCACAGCAGACGCTAATTGTGCCAGAGTAGGCCCCGTTGTGCGAATAACTCCCACGCTTCTCCTCGTAAGCGACCCGACCAAGCTGCCTGACATCTACCATCGCAATGCCGACAAGACAGGACACTACATTACCGGCACCTTTGGCGAGACTGAGTCGCTCTTCAACATGCGATCGCATAAGACGCATGTGGTTTATCGAAAGCATGTGGCGGGACCTGTAGGTTGACTGCAATGCGGCCACCGACAACGACAATCACGGCGTTGACACTCTGCAGTACAATTTTACCAACGTGAAGAAGATGGAGCCCTTGATTGACATCCGCATTCAACATTGGATTGAAAAGCTCGATGAGAAATTCGCTCAGACAGGGGAGATTTTTGATTTCTCGTGGTGGGCCGTGTAAGCATCATCGGCCGCATTCCCAAGAGCGTGCCTGGGACTAACTGTTGAGATGTCTGCAGCTACATGGCGTACGACATAATCAGTGAGATCGGTTTCGGAGCCCCCTTTGGCTTCGTCGAGCAGGCGCAGGACGTAGGCGGGCTCATTCAGGGTTTCCACGATGGTCTGCCGGCATTCGGTCTCCTCGCTCGTCTGCATCCCTTCACCAGCTGGATGAAGACCACCTTCATGAAGAAGTACCTCGTTGCCACTCCCCAGGACGATTCGGGCATTGGCGTCCTCATGCGTTTCCGTGATCGCTTGATCGATCAACGGTTCCGCGAGCTCGAAGAAAAGAAAGATATTGGTCGCATCGACCTCCTGCAGACCTTCATCGAAGCGCGCACCGAGGATGGGTTCCCGTTGGAAATTGAATACCTCAAGGCCGAGATGCTGTTGGTGCTGCTGGCCGGGGCCGATACGACCGGCACCGTCTTCCAGGCCCTGGTGCACTTCCTGCTTACCCATCCCGGCGCATACCGGCGTATGATGGAAGAAATTGACGCGGCAACGGCCAATGGATTGATCACCGACTCTGTCCCGCAATACGACGAAATCGTCGACCACCTTCCT